TTTTTTAAAACATTAAATAATTGTAGTGCTATGGTATTACTAGCCACTACTTCTTTTACACTAAAATATGTGAAATATTTGGGAAGTTTCAAAAATAGTGGTGAAGATCCCAGTGTGCACACACTTCATCTTTTCAGGCAGTCTCATTTTATTCTGTGGAAAGCCAAACCATTAAGTTGGGAGATATCTCTGGCTGAGCACCTGGACTCAGAGGTTTTTTGAAGCAACTACTCTGCTTGGTACTTCTCTCTTCATTCTGCAAATGGAGCAAAATTATTTTCTCATTGCAGTTTACTTAATTTCAACAACTTCCATTCAAAGTTGAGAAACTTCTAGGAAGTTAACAGAAAAAAAAAAAACAAAACAAAAAACAATCCTAAAAGGTTGTTTCACTTCTAGTGTATTCCTTTAAAAAACAAGAACAAAAACTCAGATCTCATAACTAAAGGATTATGGACACAGTGATTAAAAACTGTTGGTTCAATGCATTAACTGCGTTTGTTAGTAAGCCAGTTAATACTATGTACAAAGTCTGTTTTAATAAGTTCTGTTAAATGCATTCTTTCTGTTAAAAGTTAGCATGAATAACTGGCTGACTGACTAAAGCCTGTTTCTGCACTTTAATAAGATTCTAATTTGCATCCAGAAGAAAACAGATATAGATTAAGGGTAAATAAATAAGTCCTCTATAGTAAACAGGAAATATAACTTTAATATCTTCTGCCATAATGTTTAAGAATTAAGGCTTAGAATATACGTGTTATTCAGTGGAATTGCTTAAGTGAGTATGTGGTTTTGCCTTTTGTTGTCAGAAAAGCCATTTATTTTTAAAAAATCTACGGTTAGTAAAACAAAGAAATAAAACTTTAGCAGCAATTATCAGCCCTTATACTGGAAAACAACAAAAGAATATAAAAATGCAAGAAAACATGCACATTTTCTAATTAAATTAAGGCTTTTTTCTTGCTAATTTAAATCAGCCCACTGTAGTCTGTGTGACAGGAAGGATTCAGGAGATTGCATTCTGCCCCACACAGCTGCTAGAATCCTGCTGGACTCCTGAGCCATGGTTAAAAGTATGAGCAAGGACATTCACCTCCAAACTTTATTTCCAGTTCACAGGGGAACTGAACTTCTTATTGAATGCTTCAAGGCACGGAGGATTTGGCAAATATTCTTAATTTTAAACAAAGAAAGAAAAAGCTTGTCTCTGTAGGATACAGTAGCTCTACTCATCTGTTATGTCCTTTTAGTCTTGCTCTCAGCCACAGCATACAGAGGATTACGTTCCACACCTGAAAAACAGGTCTCAAGGTTGTTGATGAGACTCTTCAAGAATCTCAAGGAAGATTTCAGAGAAATACAGGAAGTGGCAAATTACAATGGCACAGAGCAGGACAGGTCTTGGAGGAAGCAGCTAGTTTACTATTCTGTAGCTGGCACAAGGTCTTGGTCTTCATTCAGCTAGTCGAAGGCACCTAATGCCCTGCCCCCCCCCCACTCAAAATAAGACTCCACCCTGATTTTTGGCATCCTTTATCAGACCAAATTCATCATGTTTTCAGAAAGCCAGCTGCATTCTCTTACCCTACAGGGATTACTTCAGAGCTGTGCTCATGGATGTTGCATAGTGCCACAGCTGTACCAAACAACACTTAAGTCATGAGGCTTTTTACATGTGTATAAATTAATCTGTTAATATTACTCTATTACATGTTGGCGTTTTTGTCAAAAGTCTTGGGGAAAATGAAGATCTTTCTCCATTGCTTCCCTTTCTTCTGTGGTGTATTTAACAGCACAAAATTAGATCTATTATGTTTGGGCATTACTCAGATGATGTTGAGTCTATGGGTCTTTATTCCACACCTATGGCAGAGTTGCATTTGCCATTCTAAATAGAAAATCATTTGATTGAAATATTTGGCTGTATCATCAAGTTAGTTTCACCCTTGGTTTCCCATTGTCCAGTATCTTGTTCTGTCGATGCAGCAGGTTCTGCATGGGCCTGGAAATGTACAAACTTGCAGTCTCTTACCATCGTAGCAATTTTGCTTTTGGCAAAGCAAGTATAAAATAGCTTTATTCCAAAGTGTAGTGGGTGATAGTAGCTGGAAAGTATAATTTCTGTACTGTAACAGAAGATGGGCATCATTACTTAAAACTTTCATGTGTCTTGGTTTAGATATGGGAGCACCTTCATCCTTCTGCCAAATGAACCAGCTTCAGTATTTCAGGAACTTTCAGTTTACAGTAGCCACCACAGAACCATTTGTTCCTGTGGAGCTTGCCAAGAAGGGGTGGTCTCAGATGGTTGTTCAGATGAGAGGATCATCCATCCCTGAGAAGTAAACTGAGAGCACTGGTTGAGCTTAATGCCACTGGGGAGACATGACTCTCCACCCCAAAGTGATAGTTTGTGTTCCTTTTATCAGTGTTGTAAGAGGGAAGCTTTCAAAACAAAACAAAATCACTTCTGACATTAACCCAGAATGTTTCCTTTTTTATATATCTGTAAACAGCACAGCTTCAAGTCATGTATATTAATCTAAAAACTTTCTCATAACACACCTCAAGTTCTTCCTCAGGTCAGCATTGTCGTCCCACTGAGATGACGTGGAAGGTGGCGTGGGACCATGATCTGTGCTGAACATGCTGCTGGCACGCTGGGATCAGCAATGTTGTCTGATTGGTTGGCATAGGCAGGAGAGAGTATCCCGAAGAGTGTTTTTAAAAAGAAATTACTACTTAAGAAAGAGATATTTTTATCTTCAGCTTTTAAAATAAAGGAATGGGTATGTGACGTTATAAGCTAGTCTGTTCGAATGGCTTTATTTAATGACATTATGTTCTTTGCAGCTTTTTTGCATTTTCTTTGCTTTAAGCACACAAAGGAAAGAAGATAGCTGCTAACTGTGCAGATGAAATGGCCTCTTCATACACATTTTAATTTACTGGCGTACTGGGACGTTCTTGAAATACACTTCATTTATGTGGGAATCTGGCATAGGAAGGGAGGCATGGAGAACCTGAAACAGCAGTGTGCCTCCATGAGGAGGAAAGAAAGCCAGTGCTGATGAGAGCAACGTGGGCGAGGAGAACAGCAACATCAAGTGTGGGATGTCAACAAGGCAGATGTTCAGGGAATGGGTGATGGACACTTAGGGAGACAGATGAACAAAGAGAAGCAGTGATGGCAGGAAAGGGGCAGCGGTGGAGACCAAGGGAAGTTGTTGACGAGCATAATACAGTTTTTAAAATGGGATGGTTTTTTTTTAGTTGAGAAGTTTACCACTCTGACTGATGATGAAAGCGAGCTTTACTGTCAAATACAAAGATCATGCTACAGAAGCTGTGGTGCATGCAGCAGCCCTGTGCTGTGCTTTCCCTCCACATAGCTGGATACTGTATCTTTACCATTTCTGTACAGTTATGTTAGTAACTATAGAGCCAAGTCTATCTTTCTCTGTCCTTAGTATGAGAACTAGAGAATCAAGGAAAAACAAACCCTTTTTCACTCTTGACGCAGCATTGGATAACAGGTTGGTATGACTGCTGAACTTGAAAGGCCAACTTCTAGCTATCCAAACATCAGTTAGAAGCTGAGAAATTTGTCCCTGCTTAGTCCAGGTGCTGACGTGGAAGATTAGGCAAAAACTGAAGCTGCCTGTTCCCCATGAGTAAGGCTAGTCCACTTCAGTAGGATCCATTGTAAATGTTGTTTTTTTTCTGTCCATGCAGTCCATGTGTAGCATTGTTTGCATCAAAGAGTCAGCTATAACCCACCAGACCTATGCAATGATGTTATGTTTGTCTTTTCCTGTAAGCCTTCTTTTCTTTCTGTTTGCCCCACTTTGTCATCTGAACTGAACTTGGTGTGTATGGAAATGAAGCAGTAACAATAAAAGTCATTGTATTTTTTTTTTTTTTTTAATAAATTTTAGGAAGTTCTGTAACCTTGTACTGGAACTAGATAATGAGAAAAAAAAATACACCTACTTTCTACTCAGGTAGAAAAGGTCTCCTCTCCGGACTGATTTCATAAGCATCAGTGTTAACAGGTTTCCATGGATAGTGTTACCAGCTCAGTGACTTCAGCGTTTTGAATATTCTAAATCACAACATGTGTTATCACTGATTGATTTTTGTTTTTGAAGAATACCATGCCCCAAGTCTGGGTTGGCTTTTTGTTCTTTTATCATGTAAGTGATGATTTAGGATTGGATTGTATCTTCTGTTGTCATTTACTTTCTACTCAGCATATATGGCTATATTGATTTCTAACAAATACCTGCATTGCTTATGACATGAGCAGTTTATTTCGTATGTTTGATGAAGTAGACAGAATTAATTGAAGCTTCTTTCTGAATTCCTCAAGAGCATGGGTAGCTGTCTTTTTTAAATCTTTTAAAGTCACAAGCTTTTGTACAGGAACAGGAGACCCTATTGCAGTTAGGATAAAACAATTTCAACTTCAGAAAACTATCCTAAACCTGCTCCAGAGAAGAGTTTAAAAAGTCAGTTTCTGCTATTCTAGGGAGCTGCTTCATATTATTTAAGCAGTAACATGTTAATATACTAAGTAAGATATTGCAGCAAAAATACTTCATATTTAGTAGAGAGTAAAAACAAAATTACATTACGTGTGTAGACTTACAAGTCCTGCTGTTTGGGCAGGGATTTAACAGATTCCCAGACATCTAGCAGCTACTTCTGGAATCGGCAAATGCCAAATAAACTTGAGACAGCTCTGCAGCTGAATAACAGGGAGTCTAATGTGTCCTGCTTTGCAACCTGCCAGTATTGGCAGTTTTGCATGTCTTCACAGCAGTGCCGGGAACTTTTAATATTTTTTTTTCCATTTCAAAAGAGAATTTTTTTGAGAGAAACAAGTGACATCCTACAAACACATTTGTTCATTTAATAGTAACTGGTTATTAATTTGAACAGAATTCTAAATCTCACAGAAATAGTGAAACTTTTCTGCTTTTTCTTTTTTCTAGTCTCCACTGGTAAGTACCTTCTGTCTCTACACATCTGATGGAATTACATAGGGAAGTATTAGGAAATGGCTGTAAGATTCTTCTCTTCCGGGAAACACTTTTGAAGGTACCTGATGCTTGGATCTGTCAAGGCATTACAGAGGGAAAAGAAAATTTTATTCAAAAGTTTATGAGCCTGAAAGTAAATTATCTTTTGCAGGGTTATTCAGTGTTTTACACAGACGTGAACTCCATCCTAAACTTAAATTAGTTTTGGGTTGTTTAAAATACATTTTAGTTTTATGCATATCTTTGCTCATTTTAATTGAGGTTATTTTTTAAACTTCTAGTTTTTAATATCTATCTTCATAGCTTTAATGCTGCTAAACGCTCTTGTATTCCCAGTTTAATGCCTTGTTATACTTCATAGTTGAAATATGTTCTTTTTATTATAATTATTTGTGTCTTACACCATAGTCTTTTCTGGATATTCACGGTTTGCCTATGGTTGTTCTTTTGTAGTAAATAAATGATGTAAAGATTTATAGTTGTTAGAACATTTAATTTTCTACACAGTGCATTCAGCCTCAGTTTGGAAGTGTTTTCACTAGCAGTTATGAGTTTAACATAAGTCACATAACACTATTTTATATTGAGCACCAATCATTTCTTTATGATATAACTTTGTTTGACCTCATATTATTTGCTAACAATATATAAACAATGCCCTTTAACCTCTTAGTTTTCTCACAGATGTGGAGAAACCCTATAGCCTCATGATACATTAAATTCTGATTAGGAGGAGAAGAGAAGGAGTTTTAGATCCCCTTTTCACTTCTCCTTTTGGAAAATCTCTTTCGGCCTTACTTTGAACTGTGAACATTCACTTAACAAATCAAAATCTCTACCAGAAAGAAATCCTCCCCCCAGACATCTATCAAAATGCAGTCTGAGGTCTCAGATGCCAGTGATAATTTCAGTTTTATTAAAACCAAACAAAAACTACACCCACCCAACCCACCAACCACCTCCATGAAAATTCTAAGCAAAACCTCAGGCAAAATAAAATGGAAGGTGAGGTTAGTTATTTTCTCCTCAGAAGTTGTGAGACAGATCTCACATTTTCCAGGAAATCCATAGGGTCTGACCTCTAATCAGTCTTTCCAAGACTAAGTTTAGTTTATTTATTAGTCTACTTTGCTTTGTCCTGCTAGTTAGTAAGAGATGATCCCCCAAATTTACAACTCCAAATAAATTTCCAATAACTTTGTAGAAATACATTTTGAATTTGTGTTTGGAAGGTAATGAAAAAGGTGGTTTCTAAAAATATACTTGAAGTCTAAAATTCCAGTAATGAACAATCTCTAGTGTGTTATTGTATTGACGTTTTTGCAGTTTTTGTCATAGAGAAAGAAAGGGGATGTGACTTTATTGATCTCAGTGGAGTTTACCATTGCCTTCAGTTCCTTCCACTGACAAATGTGTCTGACTTGATCTATATTCAAGACTTACAATTGCATTTCTGTGCCAGTTTCTACAGTTTCTGTGTCTCAGCTTGCGTTGGTGAGAAAAATATGTACTAATTTTGGGTGGGGGAAAAAAAGAAATCATCACAGCAATGTTTCACAATGTTCACTTGTTTCCTAGTTAAGTAAGGGATTGTTACTGAAATTTTTCTCCAGATAGTTTCTTTGCAATGTTTTCTATCTTCATTTCCTTTCTTGATCCTTTTAAAATCACCTCTTACAAAACATGTTTATTTTATGGTTGCACAAGGATATTGTTGTTGAAAATGAATCTGACCTAAATGCATTTAAAGTTTAAATATGATTTCTGGGACAAAGAAAGAATAAAAAATATTTTATTCAGGGACAGATGTAAGATTTAGCTAGGATATACTGATATATAAGTATAGCACCAAAAGTCATTGCAACCAGAAAAAAAATGAATGAGAAGAATGGCAAAGGCTCTTTATGAAAAATAAAGGGGAACACTTTATATAATAATTCTGAAGATACATACAACAATTTTGGCATAAAATACTACACATAAAGTAGTGGTGAACTTAGACCATTAAAGAAAAATATGATTTCCCGATGTTCTCACTGGAAAAGGGGAGTCAGCTTCAAAGTATAATAACTCTGCTTTACATCCAAAAATACAACTTGTGGTTAAAATTTGTAGGAATCATGCCAACAATTTGTTGCATGCGTATAATTAGTTACAGCATGGAATCAAAATATTTCTGAACAGGAAAAAAATTGTCTGACTCAATTGAGTCACCTTTATAATTGATGTCTGATCTTTTCACATCCATAGATATCTGTAAAACAAGGGATAGGAGAACATCTTTTGCGTTAAACTTCTATCTGGCACATCTATAATTAGTGTTATCTTGACCAAAATTTATTTCTGAAAGGATAATTTTATCTTCTTGGAGACTGTCTAATCCGTTTTGAAATAAAGCTATAGAGGAAAACTAAGCAGAGAGAACAAAATCAGGAATTAAACCTGAATCCCGTATTACATGACTTGACTCTGTCAAGGGGATACTGGAAGTTAATAAGACTCCATTACGTGCTAGAAGCTGAGCATTTGTTCAAGGGCTTTCCTAATAGGGTTGTTAGAAATTTGGAGCATTTAAAACTGTAAATATTTTTTAACTGACTTAAGGCTTAGTGACCTGATGCACCTGAGAATAGTTAAACAACTATAGAGACACATTTGCAGTGCTTAGGAATCCAAAGAACTTGGTCTAAACAGAAGGTACTGATAACTTACAAATCAGTGTAAAATATGTCAAGGATTAGTGTTTCTTATTTTCCCTTTTTCTGTGTTTAGATTTTTTTACTGCATCCTCTTAATTATCTGACATGGTTTTTTATATGTTCCAGATGATATTTTGACAGAAATGATTGGTAAATTTCCAGGTCAAAGAGAAAGGGTAAGGATTACTTTCAGGAAGGATGTGCAAGAAAGAAAGATAGCTGGAGGCTGAAGGGAGTAAGAGACATAGTGCAGAGGTCAGGAATAGCATCCTCCTAATGGCCATGTACCTTATGCTTTGTATCATGGCTGCTGCTGTCTGTTCTGGTAACAGTACAGCATGAGCTTTCTTATCCAACCACATCTTTTTTCTCCTGGGGATTTGATCCAATGTGGAATCTAGAGACAGAAGCAACTCTCTGTCTCCTAAGCTTTGAGGAGACAGTTTCGCATGGAAACTTTCTTTGTAAACCTCCTGGCGTGTGGAAAAGCAGGATCCTCAGTCTCGCGGGCACAGATTGCTGGGATCAGGATTCAGATGATTAATTTGGGCAGCAGCTGTATATAAGAGCGTGTTTTGGGGGTTGCAGAAGAAAAGGCTAAAGCTGGAATGAGGTAAGTCTGTGACTCCACTTAGGATGCGCCTGTGTGCTGTGAGTCACTGGCTGAGTGTGCGAGGTGAGAGCTATCTTGGCATAAACTGAAGTGTTTCTTCTCTTCCAGAAAATGAATCACTTGATTCTGAGTGTATCTTCTTTTTGTTAATTTTTATGAAGTAAACAGTTTTCAGAGGCTTCAGTACATTCAAGTATGTGTTTTTTACTGACATAGCAGGAGAACTTTCAAATGAAGGGAACTCACCTGTTGGGGCCAGTATTTTTTAGACTTTTCCCAGAAACATGTCTGACTGATCAGTACAGTGCCAGAAACATCGTCCTTCTGGCACTGCAGCCTTATTCCCAGAAGTATCACCGAGTAAAGACACTAATGCAGTCAAAACTGCCAAGTGATTTTTATTCTCAGTCTACTTCTGTTTATTCTCCTTACTTAGTCCACTTCTAGCTTTGAAGGGAGAAAATTTGTCTTAAAATCTGGAAAAAAAAGGAAGGAGTTAACATGATATGTTGTCCCTGAAGACACATTGCTCGGGCCAGCAGTTGTCCTGGTATCAAGGAAGTTCCATATTGTTAGTTTTCTCTTTAACTTAACTGGTGTGAAAAAATGTGAAGGTAGTGGTTGAGCAGATCTGTTACAGCAGAGAGGTGCAATCTGGGAGGGGACTTGCAGTGTTGTTAGAAGACCAAGAGAACCTTCAAATTCCACATGTCCTCACAGAAGGTGCCACAGAGATCTTCATGAAGCTTCAGATGGGACACAAGGTGCCTTGTAACCACAATTAGTTTATTTGAATTTACTTTTTTTTCTTGTTCTTGGGGGAGTTTAGATGTGATCATTTACTTTCTGTGTTTTCCTTTTTACATATAAGGAGAATAGATAATGTGATATTCACAGATTTTGTTGTAGATATTAGCACAAAATATAAGTGGCTCAGTTTGGTGCTTTGGGAACCACATTGGATGTGTAAATGGATCCTGCTTGGCATTGATGTTCATTTGATGTGCTGTGTGACAGAAGAGGAGCTATTTCAGATGGCCAAGTCCCTTTTTCGTACCTTTCTCAACCCAGCACACTCTCACCAAGCAGATTAGAATTCAAACTTTTTTCCAGCTCTTGTTAGTAAAGGCTATGTTAATGTTAATGTGAGCTCAAGTGGCTGGCCAGACTTTGGATCACCCATTACCTGTTTATCAGATTATTTCTGAGACAGATAGTTCACAAGGCAAGAGGAATACCTACTACTCATACCATAAATCTATTAGGGAAGGAATCGGTGCTGAGCCATCTGGGCTGGGTAATTCCCAATCTGACACAGGTAATCCTGCAGGAGCTTTGCTATGGCTTCACATCTCATTCCTTCAATCCGGCCTCTGAGTCAGCAAAGCGAACCACAGCGTCAAGCCCAGATGTGCAGCATATGTCATCTGCACCCAGGTCTCATTGTCAAAGGCCATGGCAAGTTACCTTCTGAAGTAGATGGTCTCCCAGACAGGGTATCCACCACTGAACTCCAGCAGCTTCTGACCAAAGGTTTCAATACTGCAATCAGGCCAACTCCTCTCCCAACTTTCAGTGACATGGAAAAAAAAAAAAAAAAAAAAGTAATTCTCTTTGCGTTTTTCATTTCGTAAGCTGAGTTTGTCCTTGACTTGGGGATTTCCTCAAGATGGTGACTTTGCCACCCCACCTGTGTCACCTCGCTTTTAAAATAATCCAGTTCACTTTTTTTGTCCAGCACCTTAACATCACTGTCTCAGAAGATAAGACAGTATGCAACCACACCTTTTATTCAAAAGATAAACGGATGTGGTGTGTGATCAGCTAAACTGAATTTCTGTTTGTGACCAAAGGAGATGTTGAGATATGTGGGTTGCTCTTGCTTGATCATAAAGACCTGGCACTTGAGTATTGCCCAGTAAAATTGTGGCTGTGAAACCGACCTATGATTTCAGTCCCATGAAAGCTGATTTCTTGTCTGATAGGTCATTTGTCAAGTCCTGCCTTCTACCTTCTCTCTTTCTTTTAAGGATGCATTTGAGAAAGATTTTGAAAGATAATTCATATAGCTTATTTTCCCTTGCTAGGCAAAATACAAGGTTTTATTTTTTTATTTTTTCCCGTTTTGCTTTTTTACCTAATATCTGTATAGCTGCAATTAAATATAGAAGGCATTGGGAATTTTTCTGTATTGTTAATTAATATTTAATTGGGTCAAGTGCCTTCTTTTCCTTATGATGTCTTTTGAAAATATTGTGAAGTAACGAGAACATTAAATTGTGCATATTTTTCTTACTAAATATATTTGAACTTTTTGCAGGATAGAAAGTATATGAGGTGTTTTATAATCCAGTATAATTACCATTGTGAACTTTAGTCACTGGAGCTAATCACTAAGTGCTTTGTTGTTACAGCTGGTTGATAAGTTTTCATTCATGGCATTAAATTCTTCCTTCCATTTCTTATTTCTCTGACTGACCTGACTTTCCCATGATATGACAAACAGGGTGGTGTTACAATGCGGGCTAGTTATTTGGTTTTGTATATAATGATTTCCAGGGAGAAAGGGGTCAGGAAAAGAATCACTACAGTTCTGAAAATGACCTGATGTTACAGAATTATGCCAAGTAATTAGTTTTTCCACCATTAATAGCTTTTGCACATGTGTAAGTAGAACTGGTCATCTTGAATTTTCTTTGTTTTCTCAAAATATTCAACTTGTTAGTCATTAGAAAGAATCATTTAGGACTTAGGTAAGATTATAAAGTCACTAGCAGAGAGTTGCTCTTAATTAGAAGATACATACTTTTATAATTAAAAAATATTTTTTTATCATTAATAATGACTAATGGAATATTTGCTTTAATTCCTTCTCCTGAAACTTGGCACTTCTTGAAAAATGTAAAACTTTGGAGAAAGCTGTCTTTTTCTTAAATTTTGAATATAAATTTCAAAATAGATGATTTAAAAAAATCTGAGCATAAATATTTTAAGTCTAAATTAGGTGACAGAAAATAAGTTGTTCCTTAATTTACTCACAGTGGTAGCTTTCTTCTGTATTATCATGTATTAAAGTAGTCTTACAGTAGAACTGTGAGGATTGTCTGCAAAAGACAGGAAAAATTTAAGAGGAGTGAGAAAGGAAAAAGGCAGGGTAGCTCTTTTAAATGAGACAAGCTTAAATATTCGGACACATCAAAACATTATTGGAAACAGACTTTTGGACCATTTTCCTTTTGCAGCCATGTATGTGCTTTTCCATCATCCTTATATTTTAAGAATGTGGGTAGAAAATAAGCCTATTAGTTTTAAATGCAAAGGATGGGCCTATATCATCATCAGATTTCTTATATTCACCTACCTTTTCAAAAATGTTTTGTTCAGCAAAGAAGTGTGACAGGTAGGTACATTTATAAACCTTGGGAAAGTTTATTTTTCATTAAAAGTCTGGTCGACAAGATACCACCTTCATAAAACCTTATGTGTATATATTATGGAAAACTATGTGAGTCTGTTGTATTATTTATGGTGAAAAACCTGTTTAATACTGCATTTAATAACTGAATCAGTCCTCCTAGTATCTTCAGGCCCAATTCATAATTAAACCCTAAAAACATCAGAACTAACTGTCATGGTCTGAGCCCAGAGGGCAACTGAGCACCATGCAGCCGCTCACTTACCCCTTCCCTCCCAGAGTTGGGAAGGAGAAAATGAAGCAAAAGATTCAGAATCGAGATAAGGACAGGGAGGGGTGGCTCACCCATTATGGTCACAGGCAAAAGACAGACTCGTTAAGGGAAGTAAAAAAAAAGTCTGTTTCAAACACTTTAACAAAAGCAACACTTAACAGACAAGGTGGGGCAGTGAGAAGCACCAACCACATCCAAAAAACACCTTACCCCCACCCCTCCTTTCTCCCCCGCTTTGGCTCTGCTCCCGATCTCTCTACCTCCTCCCCCAGCAGCACAGGGACAGGGGATGGGGGTTAGAGCCAGTCCCACCACTCCTTCCTTCTCGGGAGATGGGGTGAACTCTGCACATTCCTCCCCTGCTCCACATTGCTCCCCTCTCACTGCAGACAGTCCTCCATGAATTTTTTCTGGCATGAGTCCTCCCTGCAGGGTGCAGCCTTTCTCACGCTGACCCAGCATGGGTCACCCCTGCGTGTTGCGGTCCTCCCACAGCTGAACCACAACAGCAGGGTCTGCTTCTCCCCTCAGAGACCCAGCTTCTTTTTAGTGCAGACACCTGTCCCAGTGTGGGTTTAGGGTCACAGGCTTCTCTGCTCCACCACAGACCTCCATGTGTGGCAGGGTGGGCGGCCCTGCCATCTCACCACAGGATACGAAGAGGGTCTGTGCTCTGGTGCACCTCCCCCCTTTCTTCTCTTTCCTTCAGCCGACCTGGGTGCTTGCATAGGGGTCCCTGTAACTCCTTCTCACAAGTCCCAGCCCCATCTCAGGTTCCCCTTCTTAAACATGCTATCACAGAGGCTCAGCCACCGTCACTAATCGCCTTGGCCTTGGCCAGAGGCGGGTCTGACTTGGAGCCGGGGGTGCTTTGGGAAGCTTCTCACAGGGGCCACCGCTCTAGCCCCCTCCCCTGCTACCAAAAACCCCAACACAGAAGCCCAGCACACCAACAAAAATGGCTTTATAAACCAGGCATATTTTGGCACCTGTTATTGTTTTTAATTTAAGTTACCTGTGATATTTAGTCAGTTACTTTACTTGGCAATGCTTTGTTTTTCAGGATGGGAAGAAGAAGTTTGACAAGGAAAGTGAGAAGTATTATTCCATCCTAGAGAAACACTTAAATTTATCAGCAAAGAAGAAAGAATCTCATTTGCAAGATGTAAGCAGTAAACACAGTCTTACCTAGCTTCATATTTGCATAGAGATCATGATAACAAACCGGTTCTTTTCAGGACATGCTGTATTTTCTTAATGTGAAATTGTAGTGACAGTTGTGAATATAAATTCTTGAGTGGGATTAATGTAACCCTAATAAGAGTTAAATATTTTAACAAGACAATGTTCTACATGTCCAACTTTGTGTACGTCAAGTACAGCTAATGTTTATTGGTCGCAACAAAAGAATTATATTAAATAAAAATATGACTTTTATAAGGCATTTGTGAAATATTTGAAAGTCAATTAACTGCTAGTTTTTGTACTTAATTTATTACTCAATGAAATTATGCTTGTGTTTCACATCAAATTTAATCTGGGAGACCAAACTGAGATCACTTTAATGATGCTTTTTTATGCTTCTTCTTTCCTCTTTTTCACCTTATTCTGATGCTGCTGCATCATGCCCTGAAATTGTATCCACAGCTTCATCTTTGAAGAGTCTGTATAGCTAATTCTTTTCAGTTAAAAAAAAAAAAAAAAACAAACAAAAAAAAACAAACCATGAGGACTTCTAGTTTAGCAGGAGGATTCCAGGGGTTTTCAGTATGCTGGTGGAAATAATTATGATTTGTCTTTAAGGGAAATTACAGTAAAACCAGCAATTTGATATCAATGACACTTTGGGATTCGTGCCAAAAGTAGTTAGAAATTATTTTGATGGGATTACTTTTGCCACAGTGACTCCTAGATCATGGAGGTTAGTTTGCAGATGGAGTTTTCACAGAAGATGTAACTATAACTCAGTCACAAATTGTAGGATTTTTTTTTCATGTTCACCAGTAATTCTATAATTCAAATTATAGGCTTAGCGATTCAAGATTTGAAAAAATTTTTATACTCCTGAATTGCCATTGTTGTCTATATAATAATCAGTCTAGATAAGATATTAATTATGTAGGATTGGTTAATTGTTCCACTTTTATGTCAAAGTTTTATACGTACAGCTTTCACTTTTCCTAAATACCCTGTGTGTTGATGAAGAAGCAATTCTGTTAGAGGCTAAGCACCTGCTGAGGAAAAAAAAATTCTTATCAAAATGTGGAAAAGTGAACTTAAGCACCAATTTACTCTAGAATAGAAATAAAAAAAATAAAATATTTTACTCCTGAGACATAAGAATAATTACAGTCTAAAAACAGCAGCTGAAGTGAAAAGTAACAACTGTGAATCTAATAAACTGTGGTAGAATAACAATGGATTTGGCCGAAGTATATAAACTAATGGAAAACCAGAATAAATTTTTCCATTGTGTCCTTAAGTGACATATCTGGATTTAAAAATCTTGTAACTGAGGCTGAGGTTTTTTGCTTTTCTGGATGCCCCCCTTGTAAAGCCTCTAAAGCATAACTTATCATTTCTGTCTTCCCAATTTTATGCAGCTACAGGTATGCTGAATCAGCAGCACAGACCCACCATAAGTAGAAGGTAGAATAGCAGATCAGTACCAAAATTGTTAACCAGGGAGACTTCTGGCCTGTATTTGTATTGTAAATAAAAGGAAGCTAAGCACCAGTTCCTGGCCCAAAATGTTGACTCGCATCCAGCGTGGTTTGGGTGATCTCTGTGTGTAGCCCGTATGCCCCGGGCAGAGTTGGCTGGAGCAGCCTCCAGCAGAGCCAGGGCACGAGCAAAGGACCGAGCAGTACCGGCGGCTGGGGCTCACTGAAGCAAGTCCTTGCTTCAAGCCCACGTCCTGCATTTAGTGAGATGAGAATGCCATTTTTTGACTGCTGCTGTCACACTGAAAAATACTACTTCTTTTTTAACCCACCATTTCTCTGAATTGTTGAGGTGTCTTGGTAACTCATCACATTATGTGGGTTAAAGTGTACTGGGATGAGCAAGGAGTAGTTCTCATACTATATTGGACTATTTTGCATATCTCACCTGAGTGCAATTGAGAGCACTTTAAATAGGCTTCTAAAGTTTGATGGTCTGAACATATTCTATAGAGAGTGGTTTGCATATATTAATCTAATTGAAATGTGTTGGATATTTTAAGAGCCTGCAAGACTGCATGTGCAGTTTACATAGGCGATTAGACTTTTTTCCTTTAACATCAAAAAGAAACTTCATTAAACTGTCTTTTCACTGCCTACGGAAGTCCTCAGTGGAGCAAAAAATGGTCAGAATTGAGTGATGTGAAAAAGTTAATAAACTCATTATTTTATTTCTCTGAAATCTGTTCCAGAATCAGGCATAAATATTCAGCAAAGGCTTCAGTGTTCAAGCTTATGTGAAGTCTTGGTATACACTTTAGTGGTATCCTACATCAGTGAAAATATTACTCACTATAACTAGCTATCATACAAGTAGAGACTCAAAATCATATCCATCCAATCTTTATATTTTCTATGTGCAGTTTGAAGTCATAGATAAATGTGTGAAAATCCTTTCAGCTTTTGATACTTCAAAATCACTTTCAAAGTGCTTCTTACAAATCTGAATCTTCTGTGTTCGCACAAATTCATAAACTTCTACAGAAGTTATATTTTGGAAATTATAATTTAGTCCCCATAGACTAGTGGTGATTATGGCCTTAATGTAGGAGCCCATCATATTTGAGAAGGCACTTGGTTGTCATCAGTGTCATTACAACTACAATCTGCTTAAATGCTGTTCAGAATAGAGATGGATTTAATTAGGTGTTTAAATACTTTTTCTGAGTCAGAGCCTGAAAACGCTCCTTTCTGAAACGATTAAATTATTTGCTTACAATTAAATGTGAGAGCTGAGGTCTGTCTCAAGTGCTTATTAATGGCACTTGTGTGAGCGAGGGCTTGCTGGATCATGTCTCATAGTGGTGGCACCTGGTTTTCTGTTCAGCTATGTAGCATTGCCTTTGTGATATATTTTTTGTGAAATAAAACTATTAACAGAGTATCAAAGAAAACAGTAGCCAAGCACACTATATGAATGGCATATGGCAGAGTTAATTCTGTGGTAAAGCACTTGATTATTGGAATTTTGAGTGTGTGATTTCTGCTTTATAATAACAGTTTGTGCCCTTAACTTCCTGATTATTTTTTTATAGGTGTGGGAAGGAAATGCTAGTACTGAATCATTTAAAACATATCACTAAGGCTCATGCTTTGAAGTAGTGTTAGAGCACTGTGCCAGGGAAGTGGATCAATATTGTTAAGAGAATATACAGAAGTATACTGCTATATTTTAACTGGCATGCGCCAATAATAGCTGAACCGATCTTACTCGTATTGTTGATACTTGATAAAATTTCTTTTTGACCTAAGACCAAAACCTAACTAATTCAACTCAAAAGGGATTTGCTTGAGAAAATGATTTGTTACAAAGAAGGATTCATTAAAATGGAATCTGCATCTCTTCTTTAAGCATTATCCACATACTACACTGCTTGTCTGTTAGGTCCCTCTCCCATGGCTTGTTTAAATTGAGGATAAAAGCCTGTTACATTTTATCAGCTGATAAGAGTTAATTCTTTAGTTGTTTATGCAGAAGACACTGTTTTGGTACTGGATCTTTATGTTGGATGGTATTATTCAGGCACTTTTGACAAGTATTGCCTTGTAGTTCCGGCACTGGAAGATTAAAACATGAAAAATAATTGATTTATGAGGTTAAGGAGCTAAATATGTTTATACTCCAAGAGCATGTGACTAATACTATGAAATAATAAGTTGCAAGATGTCATTGTTAAAGACAGTCTATTTAAGAGAGAAAATACCTTCTTGGGAAGGTATTTGGAGCTAAGAAATAGATAGAATTTCAGTTCAGGTGATACTCAAAACATTTCAATAGAAATAATTATCTTTTTGTTCTCCTTAATTCGTATGCTACTCTCTTCTATTTCTTTTTCTAAACTTGCCATATACCAGGGATAGAGTTTCTGCTGCCACCTTTCTTTGTTTCCCTCCAGGCTTTCCTACAAACTAGAATATTAAAGTGCAAAAAGGAAGAAGAAACCAAGAAGGAGTGGAGAAAAGGCATGAGGTTAAAATGTGTAATGTGTGCTTCTTAAACTTGCATTTAGCTATTTTAAGTAGGTATTCTAATTTTCAGGAAGAAAACTGAACCCCTTGAAGCTTGTAAAGTAACCTTATGGAAGATCTGTTTGTTAATGACAAAATCTGGTTTTATAACAATCATGAGAGTAAACGTTCTCTATATTTCATTTTGTCTTTTAGGCAGATACACAGATTGACAGAGAACATCAAAACTTTTATGAAGCATCATTAGAATACGTTTTTAAAATTCAAGAAGTACAAGAGAAAAAGAAATTTGAATTTGTAGAACCTGTAAGTTTTATGTTTTGTTTTCTTTAGAATGCATGCATTTAAAGCTGAAAATTGAATTTTAAATTTCTATTTTTTTCTCCCTTCTTAAATTGTGATTGCAGGTTGGTTGTATATAGACAGACATTAAGATCTTGGCTTGAACATTTTCTATGTTTATTAAAGGATTATGTAAGAGTATCATATCTACTGTGAAGTGAAATGTCTGATGACTCAGAGTGTGCATAACATTTTAATGAGACAACATGTACTGTGTCAGTGCAACACATAATGGATGTTTCCTAATACCATGGTTTCACGGCTGAAATTTTGAGCCAGTTTTTGGATTTAAATATTCCGTGTAGGCAGTGTTCACATATGTTTTTCCAAGTTATACTTGAAATAAAATGAAAAAGCAGTTTTTCTGTAGGATAGGTAATTTTATTTTTTCTGTTGGTAGAACCACTTGTCTTTAGTTTAATTTGCGCAAAAAATAAAGCATATGTTGACACACCATAAAAGAGGAAGATAAAGTTGCGTTTCAAAGTCCATATTTAGATTTGGGATTTTCTCCTGGACTGTGTTTCTGCCCCCCACCCCTAAGTATCTTCTGGGTTGGTCAGTACCAAGTGCTGCTTCAATGTGATGTGCTAGCATATTTCTGTGGCGTATTAGTATTCCTAGTGTTCATGTCATACGGGACTAGTTTGCCAATTGCCTTATTTAGTTCATACTTTTAGGCCTTGACGTCCAATGTCATCTGTCCCTTCCCATTAAGCATACTGAGCATAGCAGAGCATCAGTGTGAAAGAGGAACATGACAGGTATAACTTTTTCTCTCTCTCCACACTATATTCCAGTTCCCTTGTAACTAACCAAAGCAGCACTCTTGACTGTGAAACAGGTTGAATTACGTCTCCAACACCCAATGTCACCAAGAAGAGCTTCTCAGATGCCTCCTTTCTGTGAGATGAGAATGTATTACATAGTGATTGTTTGACATTGATACAAACTAATGAACCTGGGTTCAGCAAGCAGTACTGAGAGAAATCCTGTCTTTATGGCATACAGCTGCCAAATCTTACAGACTAAGACTTTGCTCGGATTCCTAAATAAGAACATTTTTCTATCTGTCACAGATTAATCCAGAGTGTCTCTTTCTGTCTACTTCTGCAAAACTCTCTCACATCCTGGAAAAATCTAGCAATCTTGACCTAGCTCTGACCCTGGTATAGGATACTTTATGCTCCTTCAAAGTAATAGAAACTTTCTGTATTGAGAAGACTGTACATCAGGAAATTATTGTTCAATTGCATATAGTTACAATAGGGCATCTTTCATCCTATGTGATAGACAGAGAGGAAAAATAACTTTTATTTTATATGTTTTAGCTGGAGATACTGAGCTTTATCCTTTTGACCAGGAGCTGTCCCTCACAATGTCAGCCATCACAGTAGCAGCTATGAATTACCAAAATGAAAGAACAATTTATCGATTCATCATTTCTGATACTGAATAAGCAAGCAGGGGAGATTACTGGTAAACTCAGTCTTGTGGACCTGGGTATTTTTGTCACCAGGTGTACACATCCAGTAGGTAAAATTTACTTCTGAGTGGATCAATTGCCATCCTGTGTCAGCTCAGTATGTGTTTTAGCCCGGTGTGCTGTTTGTTGCACTCAGGTCATTAGTTGATGTTCCAGAGGAAGATACAGGAAATACTCTGGTGACTGGGTAATGATAGCCCTTGCAGGCAGTGTCTTCTAGCTTCACATGTGAATTTTGTATAATCAATCTGATTATAAATGGAGCTTAAATTATAACAGTGGTTATAAAATTTTGAACCTTCTAAATTCTTAATTTTTTGTTTCTAGTCTGTTGCATACAACATGTTGGAATAAAAAGCATTTACTAAAACCTATGAAGCAAAGTATGCCAAGTAAATTATAATACACATCAGCAATACCATGAGACAAAGAAAAAAAAAATCTTCAAAATAGGCTTTCTAAAATAGCATTGTTTATGTAAGTGATGTCGGAAGTATGAAGCATGTGCTCCTAGATGCAAGTAGATAATGACAAAGACTAACACTTTAAAATCACTTATCAAAAGAATTGCCATATTATTCATTTTCCTCTGTGTGCTCCATGGATGTTCAGATGCCAAAAGATTCCTGGTCATGTGTCTATATAGACAGTCCTCCTCAGGAGCTCTGCTGGTTGTGGGGCATTCTAGGGCGTGTGCTGCTTATGTCTCTGATTTATCAGCTCACTGTCACGTCTCCGTATAATTCTCAGACTGATGTATTACTAATAGACTCTTTGAAGGAGAGTTTAACAAAATAAAAGAATGGCTGTTAGTGCAGTGAGAAGATATTGTGATGCCTATATGGAAAAAGGATAAGTTCATGACATGGGAATAGAACTTCAAAAGCAAGTAGTCTGCTGGAGCTCTTTCAAAGATCTTCAGTTTGTCTATGCCAAAATGTAAGGATGGTCTGGGAACCAGAGTGGGAGAAGTATTCAAGCAAAAATTGCCAGGTGGGTTACACCTAGGAGAGTAGGACAGTGGAAGTTGATAAGAGTGGAATATGTTCCTTCCTGGAGGAGAGTGGGGAGACATTTTAAGGTAGAAAAAGCTAATGACTCATACTCTGAGTAGAGTATTATAATAGAGTAGACTTTTGGAGCCGCTCCTTAGGCCCTTGGATTTCTCTGCTGTTCTCTGCATCTTGTTTCAAGGAGTTGCTAATGTGTATTAGTGTGACTAACTGACAGCTGCCTATTTATGATCCTCCTAGATCTTTATTTTATCCATGAAGAAAGAAACCCTAAAGCTTTTCTTACAGATCATGAATTTAAACTTTTTATCAAGGGCAAAATAGTGTTAAAATTTATTTTACATCAAGTTAAACAATGAAAGAAAGGCAATGACAATAATCTTTCATCCTAGCTTTGCCCTTGTGGGCCCAGAGAAGCTAGACCAAACCAACACTGCTTTCTGAGGATGTTACGCTTGTTAGAGCTCCACTTTGTCCCTCGGCAATGCCAGGACTTCCTTGACCTGTAGAAATCAGGGCAGAGAGTTCATAAGCAGTAAGCTATCTGAAATGTGAAGGGTGGTCCATTAAATGTCACAAAAGCCCAGAACTGTTTATTTAAAGAGGAAAAAAAAACCAAACAAACAAAACAAAACAACAACAACAAACAACAACAACAATAACCCAAACAAACAAACAAAAAAACAAACCAAAACAAAACAATGTAAACCAAAAACAAACACAAAACCGACAAACCCTGCCAGTAATTGCATGCAGTTCCATGAGACTTCACTGTGGACGTTAAACACAATTTCCCCTTGGATTTTCCGCATTGTTAACTACATTCACTTTGATCTGATGAATAAGTGCTATCTACTTATAAATAAATGAAACCAGGGAGACAGGGACTTCTGGATGATGTGCTGCAGGCCAAAGGTTAAATTCCTCCCCTATCCGAAACCGAAGTACAGTCTTCTTCCTGTGAGAATGAAATGACCAGGCAGTCTTGAGGTCACCAGCTCTACATAAAAATAAATAAAGTCTCAAGAAGTAGTTGTATTTTGTTTCAGGTTTGTGTTGAAATCCTCGCAGCACTAGGGTAGTGAGTAGCATTGTATTACGGAATTGAGACCTTGCTCTTTATTGATGTGACTGATTAAATACTCATAATGAGGTAACTATAAGGCACTTGTTGAAATGAAAAACTATTGATATGAACACGTCAGGCATGGTATGTGAACTTTGGTGAAATAAATCACCTCTTTACATATGAAGATCACCTTGAAATACATTCTGAAAATCTTTTTTGAAAGAAAAAAGGGCTGGTTTTCTTTTTGTTAATAGTTAATATAAATTTCTTTAAAATTATGAGCCTGCCTTTAGCAGCACTTCCACTTCTAACAGCAACAACAAGAAAATCCCACTGTGAGCATAAGCCTAGGGCAAAAGTCCATGGCTTTTAGATGTCTTCCATGCAATGCTATGGATGTACCTGTGCTGACGGGAGTGGTTATGAAGATGCCTTAACAGAACAGGCCCATTGGGTACAGGGCATTTTCTGTTCCCTGGTCTTCCTCCACTAGTGACACATACATAAAAGCGAATACCATCCTCCTCAGTGATAGTCGTTTCAACACAGAACTTCAATAAGCTGGTCTAGGACTTGCGTAAAATAAGCATATTTTTAGTTTTCTTTTATTCCTATTTTTCTAAGTGCTCAGAGGGTATTTGGCCAACAGAACCACAAGGCCAGATCCTCTGCAATGCACAACTGCCAGAATACCTGAGGTGTACTTTAACTAATATGCACTCAGATTTTTCTCAGGGTTTTTTTGCTGCTATTTTTTTTTGCTTTCTGATAAATTCAGCTTTGCTGCCATCTTGTGGTAAGTATTTTCCTGCTCGTTTCTCCATGTACTCTGTAAAAGCATTTAGTATTGTGGAAAACAGTTTTCTTCAAGTATTGAAGCTGAAATTTAAAGAGTTTATAGTACATTTTTCTGAAATGCCCTTTAAGCTGATCTTTAAAATTCACACATAAGCTGACATACTGAAACTTTCTCCCACCAGTGCTCTTACTGTAATTTTGGTGTGCTCTAATGTTCTGGTCTGGCTACACTTTTGCTGAGTGCTCATATTACTTGCTTCTTTAGCTGAAAAGGATGGGTTTAGCAGCAGGCTCCTACTTACAGGTTAAGGTTAATCCACATCCTTTTGACTGAACCAAGTCAAAGCAAGCACCCGACTAGTTATGCTGCTGTATGCGAAGGAGCTGTAATTGGGGACTCTGATGAGTAACTGGCTCTAGACTGTGGGCACGGGCTTTGCACAGCTGGAGGCAGATCAGAGCCTTAGTTATAATTTACTTACTTATTTTATACTTTATTCATAAAAAAGGAAGACTGGTTTTCTTTCATTTATTTTCTTTTATGTAATTCTTTCTATAATTACATTATAAACCTTAACATTATAGAACTCTATCTGTTTACATAATTGGAGCTTTTTAAGATAAATTGTTATATCTGGACCTTCCTCAGAACCACTTGAATAACCAGTAAGAGACTTTCAGAGCCAGGTCCTAAGCTGAGATAATGATTTTAGTTGGACAGATGATCATGTAAAGCTGAGAGAATTTACACAAGCTGTGGAGCCCTTCACTTGACTGTGTTGCCTTCCTTGTTTATTTGGTGGTAGGATGCAGTTCAGAAATTCACACTCCTTGTAGAGGCCCCACAAAAAGTGGCTTTTATGCTGAAGGATCTTCTGAGTTCTTCAGACTCTGTGATTGACTTACTGGGCAGCCATGGGCTTTCACCACCTCTGCCTGAGGCCAGGGTTTCATCTGGTCCTGCAATACCAGTAAAAAACAATGGCAAAGTACTTCTCGCAGCCATGCCTTCACACGTCTATTTGTGCCAATGCTTACAGTCTATTAGCCTCTAACTGCTTTAACTTACTAATACTGCAAAACAGCAGGCTTCCCAAGGCAGAGATGCTGTCTGAAGGGCTCAGTGATGCCAGAGCTGACAATTATGTGCAGGATGCATAACAAGGCTGGAAGGGGAAAGAGAGGAACAGGAAGGGAAGAACAAGACTTCAGTCTGGTAGCAGCAAGTCATCATGTCAGCTCCTCTGCCCAGAGTGCTGCGTCCTTGATCTCTTATCTGTCAGGCCATGGAAGTTTGCTTATTAAATGGTGTGGAATGTCTTGCAAGGCTGGAGTGGATGAGACTCTAAAATTGCAAAATACTATTTTAGCTATTCCCCTGAAATATATGTGTTACCGTAATACAGCAGTCTCTTAGCAATAGGAAAGAGGGAGGCAGAACAATTTAACTACATTTCTTCAAGTAGGTCTGAGTGTAAATTTAAAGAAAATATAAACACAGTAAAAGCTACATTTTTAAGCTGTTTCACTTACAATAATCTATGGTACTGACAACACAAAGAAAAGTGCATTAAATATGAATGATGGCATTTTTGTTGCCTGAGTCTAGACTACTTCAATAATCGATGGAGAGAGATAAATGTTTCCATAGGATCATTCATCCCATCCTGAGAGGGAAGTCTGAAAAAGGGAAAAGAATTATGCTCTTGAATACTTGTGGTTTTTTACTGAGTTAGGAAGCAGCCTGGACAGCCAGTTACTTAGCCTTAATAATTGGCTTTTCAATGGCTGTAGTATACCAAGATAAATCTGTCCTGTTGTTATAGCTTTTGTTATTGTACATCCAAGTTAATATCTTTTTTTTTGTTGTTGTTTTCTTCACTTGTTTTTTTGTAAGCTAAATCATATATACAAAGAAAACAGTCCATAATAAAAAAATTAAATGTTTGTTATTTAGTAGCAGGTAAAATGACTTATGGCAATGTCAAAACATCTTTAAAATTTAGAACAGAAAAAGTTAGAAGTCTTTAAAATCTAAGGGGTAGTAGGAGAGCATTAATTCAACAGCTAAAATCTAGTTGCACTTTTTACTACTTAAACATTATTTTAAAGCAAACTTTTAAAAGAATTTTCACTTGGATACATATAGACTTGCAACTGTTCTGTTGGAGTCAGTCACAGACATAACAGATAGAGTTTGCATTTTGTTCAGAGCAGGAAGAAATAGTCTGGGTTTCTTGCGTTGTATTAAGCTGTCCAAAATTTACTTTCAAGAGTTTCACTTGTGGAAAATAGGTCATAGCTCAAGCAGTTACTATGAAGAAAGTGAAAAAATATTTTGAAGAAAAAAACTTTGAACTCTGAAAGTATTAAATTGGAAAATCCACACCATCGAAAAATCCAGCTGAAATACTGGATAAAATGACTAGGACAGTAAATTAAAATGTTATGGAAATGACAACTTTATGACACAAAAGCCTGTTTAACACCTCTCTTTCTTAAGATCTGACCATGAATTCCTTGCTCAGCAAAGCTTTGCTGTTGCAAATAATGAAAGTTTAGAGTGTTCCAGGAGCTGAGACAGAGAATATTTTTTGCTGAGGGTTTGCCTTATTTTGCTGCTGAAAACTAATAGAAAATCAACTGTCCTTAGTTTTTGCTTTCTAATATTCACCTGAATAGAAAAAGTGTGTAGCAGTTGCTAAGAACTATTTTTTCACTATCTCGGGCAATACCTATTCCTTGTAAGTATAGTGTATGTTCTGTTATCTTTGAGTTATATAGCATTAAGAGTGCATGTTAAATATATATAATGCTTGTCAATTTTACCTTTTCAGCTCTTGGCCTTTCTTCAAGGATTATTTACATTTTACCATGAAGGATATGAACTGGCTCAGGAGTTTGCACCATACAAGCAGCAACTGCAGTTCAATTTGCAGAACGTAAGGATGATTTGTATTTGCACCATTTTGTTTGCTAATTTAATTTCAGGATATTAAAGTAGATTCATAGCACTTTATTGGAGCTCTAAATCTTGCAATGTTTTAGTAAGCTGAAATCAAATTAATATATGAATAGGTAAACATATTTTTTGTAAGGTTTACATAATTAAAATTCCCATCACAAATAACTTTAGAAGAATTAATCTTCACATAGTTAATTTATGATTTCCAGGTCAAAATTTTAGGAGTAAGGATCAGTAAAGCAGAACAGCAGCCAAGTTTTGATTAGAAAACACAGTAGTCCAGATAGGTTTAAACATGTGTAAATGCTTTCTTGAGGGTGGGGCCTGTCATCTGGAGTAAGTAGATGTCCCCGAAAAACTCCAACTGGTATAGAATGATGCAGTTTGTTTCTGTAAGATCACAGATTGCCACAAAAAGTTTGGCCTGCTGTATGCTAGGTTCCCACTGTATATGAAGCATGCTTGCGAAGCCATTCTCTGTCTGTTCTCTGGAACATCAAAGAACTGGTGGGTCCTTCCTCCATGGTGAGCAGCTCTCATGAGCGTTAAGTTCCACTGGAAGAAAGGATCTGTTATTTGTGTAGAGTGTTACTCTCAACTGAGCAGATAGATCTTTTGCTGTAGATTGGTCTGAATTGGGTAGTAAGATTCATACAAGATTAACTGTGCCTAAAAATTCTATACCTTTCAGAAATAACAAAAATGCATTTAATCAACATACTTTTCTACTTATAACTGCTGTATAGAAGTGTATATTTATTTCATTGTGTAACTCAGATGTTATACTTAAAGGACATACAAGTAGATACAAAACGTCTTTACAGCCAGTTTGTATGAGAACCACTGTCATTTGTTTTTAAGGCAAAAAGTGAAGTTCAGCATGCTAATATTGGGCCAGCCCTATATTTTTCATGACAAGTAATGTCAAAGTACAGAACAAATTTAAAAAAAAGTGAAGGAATTCTATCATTTGCTTCAAATGCTGTATCGTTAGAGTGACTCATTTTCTTTTCCATCTCATTCTTTCAAGAAAAGATACTCACCCAACAGAAATTTTTGTAGCTTCACTAGTGTCAAAAAAGTTACAACAGTTTAGAATATCTGACATCAACTTTTGTGGTTAGTGCCTTGGCCACTGTTCATAGGGAACATGAAACATGTCTGGGAATACAAGATCACCTTACTGTGCTCAACTGCTATTCTCTGAGAGTTACTGGAAAATAAAACACATTTTCCCTGTAGCATATTGCTATTAGAGAGGCATATGTTGGCTCAAAGTTGGAAGACAGCGTTGCCTTAGCACTATTACTGTAGATCTGTATTCTTAGGAGTACTGCACTCTTCCAGGTTTTGCTGCAGTTAAATATGTACAGCACACCTCTGTAGACCCCTCCCCATTTATATCTGTTGTTCATATGTAGGTGCAAATCTAATTTTAAATGCTGCTTGGGGAAATAAGGCAAAACCTCTTAGATGATAATCTTTTCTGTTTGGATCGAAATGCAAATGTTCTATCTCTGAAGACCATGTCAGCCCCTTGCTCCTTCAAATTATGTATTTATGACCTTCAGTTTGCTACTGAGACTTTCAGATAAAGGCACAAGGGGTCAGTGTTGTCGCACAGCACAGTTTCAGTTAAAGGGTGAAAAATGTGCTTCAGTCCAGAGATTTATTTACTTTAATACGGCAAGTTCTGAGAGGAGCATGAGCCCACAGCGCAAACCAAAACTGTCATTGTAAATCAGAATATGTATCTTCTATGTGCATGTCTGTGGAAACAGAATTTTTTCAATTTCAGTGTTAATTAAGAAATAGTTAAGCTAAAATCACTTCTTAAATATTACATAAGTACAACTTTAAGTTGTAAATACACTACAGAGGTAGAGAGAGATTTAAAGTTAGGCAGAAAGAATAGTGTATTATGATACTATTTTTTATTATATTTATACATCAGAGAAACATAGAGGTGAAGAAATAGTGGGGTGCAGTACATCATTCACTGCTGTTGCACAGAAGCTTGAATTTTGGCTCCAGATCTAGATCCACAGTTTCCTTTTTCCAGCTGGGCTATCTACTGACTTGTCATTTAGCACAACACCCAACCTCAGATTGAAGTGAAATAATGTATGTAGAGAAAGACAAACTGAGGACAGTGTTCAGTGAAAATTGTGTTCAGCCTGTCATAGCTGTCAGAAGTACTCTTCTCCATTGCACTGTGTGTTAAGGTCTTGGAGAATAGTAGATCTTGAACTGCTGTCTCTGTTCTTAAAATTGTCCTGTGGGTTAGAGCAGGAGCAGTAACAGCCATAGGAGTAGCAGAGTAGTGGCAGGCTGACAGCTCTTAACAGGTCACCATGTCCTAACATGACCTGTTGTCACTGTTTCAGCTGGCCAGTAACATACTTTGCATGTCCGTTTGGCTTTGTTTCATATAATTTGATTCAAAGTCCTGGCTGCTTAAAATAATTAAAAATGTAATAAACAGAGATAAGCCCTCAATATAGGGGCATTCCTCCCCTCAGTGGCATGTCCCTCTTGAAGGTCTCAAAATGACCTCTTGTTAATTGGTCTGAAGTGATACTTTATGGATATTATCTGGAAAGTTCAGAGAAGAATTTTACCTTCCCCTCTAATAATAAAGTTTGTCTTCAAGAAGATTTAACATGTATGTTATTATACTACTGTGCAACTCCATGAATGGCTCACAAAAAGGGGAAAGTAATCACCAGTGTAGAAAGTCCTGAGAGTATCTTTTGGACTAGTCAGGATAAGAGTGCATAAGAAGACTTTGCAGAAGCAAAGTCAAAAATCTTTATTCTTTTCTGTTACCTGTAGGAACAAAGTGTTCAACATTAGGTTTATTAGTATCAACCTATCAAACTTCTGGTATGTCATAATAATTCTCCTCCACTATACCGTGCTAGGTGTGTGGAGGGAAGCCCTGGCCTTACTGAATTCACTAGGAAAAACTGTCCATTTACATGCATACAGATATTAGCAAATATGAATAATGCACCTTTGTACCTAATTATTTGCTTGGTGAGATGCCTGGTTACACGTGTGATATTTAAGTTAGACACAGTACTTCCGTGCTTTTGGCACAGTTCTACCACTTGTACCTGTTTCTTACCTAGCATATTTATGTTATACTTAATGGTGGTGTTTGCCTATCAAAAAACGTTCATGACAGTGCCGGTTACCTGACTGTTCTGAGTATCAGCAGCTGTGGTATTACTGCAGATACGGATACTCAGTACATTTGTCTCTCCTACATGTGGAGAGACCACAGCTATCTAGAGACATTAGCCTGGCATTAACCCAAACTAGTATTTTCTACACTGTACTTCAAGTGGTTCAGTGGGACATATTACTTCAGGTTTGGGGCTATGCTATCAGCAGCTTCTGGTTTAGCCTGGCTTCTGTCTGTGTATCCTAAAGTATACAGAGGGAAAGTCTGCATCTGTCTGCAAAATACTGTGTAAGCATACCTAAAGATACGAATTTACCTATTTCTGAGGTTAGTGACCTGTAGAAAGAGGGATGTTAATATCCTCAACTATGTTTCCTTTACACTTGTGTGCTTAGGTTGAATTCTTCATTACTGTTATTCCTAGGCTTCTAGAGCATTGAAGTATATTATTCTTTACTGCTTTTTTTTTTTTTTTTTTTCTTCCTTTTATGTCTCTAGCAAATGCTTCTCTTGGTCTTCGTTACAGTCTCCTTGGCATTATTAGTAATTAGTTCTACATTGTTATTTTAGTACTTGCATGAGATAATGTGTTTGTTTGTTTCCTTTTCTGGATATTAGACCCGGAATAACTTTGAAAGCACAAGACAGGAAGTGGAGAGACTCATGCAAAGAATGAAGTCAGCCAACCAGGATTACAGACCACCAAGTCAGTGGACAATGGAAGGCTATCTCTATGTGCAGGAGAAACGTGAGTAAAACAGATGTACCTTTTAATTTTATTTGAAAGGCACAGCAACAAATACAAGGAGAAGAAAATGTTTTAGTTAGCAGGACAACACAACAGCTCCATATTTGAATGTCTGCAGACTTCTGCTGTGGTTGCTTTCCAAATGATTGAGAGGTTCAAAAGAAAAATAAGTGTTTGACTTTTCAAGGAGCACTCAGAATAGCTATAGTCAGGTGGAATGACAATCAGAACACTTGTAACTAACTCAGCTCCTGCCTCCTGGGGCCTCTGGGGTAGGTCCCTGATGCTGATCACCCCAATGGCTGACTGGTAGCAAGCACTACTCTGGCTGGCTGCCCTGCGCCTTGCTGCAGAAGCTGAAAGCTCCCAGCACTCTACTTTGGCTTCACCTGCCAAACCCTGCTGTCTCCTGTACTTTCTCAACCTGCTTAGGGCCCATAGTTCACCCAGCAACAAGTTCTACCTTGTACCAGGGATCTCCACCTTAAGAGTAAGTGATCATGCACATAATGGAAAACAAAGGTGTAAGAAGAAGAAAAATAATCTAAATACAGTCTGTCAGCTTCAAAATAGCTGCAAATCTATACCTATGTTTTATTCACTTCATGAGATGTGAGAATGAAGTGATGAATTAAATGAAGGAATAGAACTAAAGTTGTCAAAAGTGTCTGAAACTGTTTGGAAGAGCCTAGCAATACATCATGTTATGAATGAAAAAAGAACCAGGAAATATTTGAAAAGGCAAATGAGAGAATACAATACTATACATCAATTGAAGTATCAGCTGCCTCTGTTTAACCAGTATAGAAAAAACCTAGCTGTGTTAGGCAGGATCATGCAAAACCCTCAAGTAAAATAGTTTTAAATGCACAGGGTACCCAGATTTATATGCTTATTTATTAATTTTTCTATTTGCTGTGGAATCAGCCTGACACTAGAAAACTACACAGCAGTGTTTTGAGATAGTGTGTGCATGCTTGTTCAAGTTTAACATTCATGCAAAAATTATTAAATACAACTTTGCACCTGATTTGTTAATCTAAAAATAAATTGAAGGCATCTGGATATAGAATTCCCATGCCAGACTTGACCTCAGTTTTGAGGATACCTTCTTCACTACTCCCCTTTTAGATGATAACTGAAGAGGCTACATGGAGTTATAGATAATTGATTTTCCAAATAATATAATGAAATTAATCTTTATTCCATATGTGATCTAAAAGAAAGCAACCTCAATGCTTATCATAGTTAACCTCAGCCAGTTTTACCCTCAATAGCACTGAAAGCTTTAAGTAGACTATGTTTTAATTGAGTAATAATGATAAAAGAAACCTGTGTTAAGTGGAAATTACACTGTGCCCTGCTAATAGAGGAGGGAGAAAAGGACTGAAGCATTGGGCACATGCTGTGCTTCATTAAATAGTGAGAGGCCAACTTGACATCCTCTTACTGAAAATAAATTTGTTCATTAGTTTATTCTGGAGTAAGAGTAACAGGGTCTGTAATATCTGTGTCTGTGGGGAAGGTACTAGTTTTTATTCCTTGTTATGCGGGTTTACTTTCCTACAACCATCATCCCACGGGCTCTTGTCAAATTATGGGCAACTGAGTTAAATGTTTGCTATTCTTGAGAGTAAATCCAGTATATATTTATTACTGACATGCATGGTGTTAAATGTTTCCTGAAAAAAATGGCAGTAGGCTGTAAATCGTTTTCATTCAGATGGGCGGTCATGATTAACATACTTGAAGTTACAATGTAGGTATGTGGCTACAGTTTTTAAATTAAAAGCAGGAGACTTCTAAACTCATCTAAACCTGCTTTGAAGGGTGCTTATCCTTCTTATATATGCTAATAGAGTTAATGAAAAGCCAACAGAGGAAAAATTGATTTAGAATAGTTAAAGATTTTGTTTTGCTAAGTGAAAATAATTTCAAATACAGGAACAGAGCAGGTAACTTCTGAGGTGTCATGGTGTGAGCCCAGAGGGCAACTGAGCACCTCACAGCTGCTCACTCACCCCTTCCCCCTATCAGTAATGGGAAAGAGAAAATGAAGCAGAAATGGCTCAGGAATACTGATAAGGACTGGGAGGGGTGGCTCACCAGTTACTGTCACAGGCAAAAGACAGACTTGTTAAGGGAAGAAAAAAAAAAACATCACTCTAATTTCAAGTAATAACAAAGGCAACACTTTACAGACAAGGTGGGGCAGTGAGAAGCACCACCACATCCAAAAAACACTTCCCGCACCCCTCCCTTCTCCCTGGGCTCAGCTCTGCTCCCGATCTCTCTCCCTCCTCCCCCAGCAGCACAGGGGGCAGGGGATGGGGGTTACAGTCAGCTCGCCGCTCCTTCCCGCTCGGGAGGTGGGGTGAACACCACACATCCCTCCCCTGCTCCACGTGGCTGCCCTCTCACTGCAGACAGTCCTCCGTGGACCTTCTCTGGCCTGAGTCCTCCCCACAGGCCGCAGCTGATCCTATGCTGATCTGGTGTGGGTCACCCCCGCGCGTTGCAGTCCTCCCAGTTCTCAACTACAACAACGGGAGCCACTTCTCCCCTCAGAGTCCTGGCTTCCTTTCAAACAGATGCCCATCCCAGCGTGAGCTCCTCCACAGGCTTCAGGTCAGCTTCTGCTCCACCGTGGACCTCCGTGGGTGGCAGGGGGGCAGCCCTGCTGTTTCACCATGGGATACAGGGGACTCTGCTCTGGTGGACCTCCCTCCCTTCCTCCTCCTCCCTTCCACTGACTTTGGTGTTTGTCCTCCCTGTAAACCCTCCTCACAAGCCCCTCCCCCAGCTCCCTCTCAGGTTCCCCTTCTTAAATATCTTACTGCAGAGGTGCAGACATCGTCATTATTTGGCTCAGCCCTGGCCAGAGGCGGGTCTGACTTGGAGCCAGGGGAGCTTTGAGAAGCTCAAAGAGGCCACTGCTGTAGCCCCCTCCCCTGCTACCAAAAAACCCCACCAGAGAAACCTAGCACATGAGGGTGGGTAACCAGTTGATTTTTCGATTAATGACACTATTTCCTGCAAAATGTAGGCAATGGGAGAACTTTCTCCAAGTCAGCATAACAGACTGTAAATTTTCACATCTACATTTCTGGATTACCAGACATCTTATTTACATGACTGATGTAACCTCTCATATATCCACCACCTTTGTTGAAGGCTACATTTAGAAGGCAAAGCCATTGCATCTATAGCAAAACTACAAGGTTTGTTTTTAACACCTTCCATTTTTATTTAACTCTTTACATTCTTGAAAAAGAAAAAAACCCCACAAACCTCTTAAAATACTTTTTTTTTTTTTTTTTAACTCTGAGCTCTTTCATTTTAAACAGATTTAAAAGGTCCAGATACACCATACTTTGAAAAAATCAGTATCGTATTTTTCCCACGAATAACTCCCATTAAAATGAATTGGAAAATCATGTGAGTTGAAATTATCATATAGTCCTTTCCTATTTTGAATTTACACACTAGTTACAATACTGCATTTTATATATATATGTATATATGTGTGTGTACATATATATATATATATATCTGTGGCACCTACATTTGTGATGGCTTTGCAGAGAGGGGCCATCTTTGCATGCCAGGCTCTGAAGCATAATGCTGTCCAAGAGGAAAGAAATGCTTGTCCTTGTTGGTATGTCTTAACACAGCCATTGTGTTTGGTCTCTACAGCTAAGTACCCAGAAGCTGTGTCAATGCTAGCAAAATAAATGGAGTTGTACTTTGCCACCGAGACAAGCTTGAACATAATATCACAGCCTCTATTCTAAATTTTCTATCCTCAAAAATCAAGAAGTTTTTTCCAAGTTACTTGGTGACTACGTGTTCTTATCTAGTCACTGTGAATGCTGCCAGCACTCTATATTAACCAGTGCAGTTATAGCCATAATGTTGTGGCCCAAGGGGGAGCAATCACACCGCAAAAACCTGAATTACCCTGTTCTCTGCAGTTCACCACCCCTTCAGATGTGTAAGAAACCAGGAGCTTACATTGTTTTCTGTGCTACAGTGAACATACTTTTTTCCAGAAAATTGTGGGAGATCTTAGCTGTACTTCTACAATGTGGAGAGAATTATGAAAATAGTGGGAGGATTTAATCCATGTCTTCACAGCAAAGGACATATCATAAATACCTGTATCTAAACTAGGTTAGCAGATGAAGTTTAAAATACCCAAGAGGGCTTTGTGCTTAGATTCACTAAAGATTCACAGCAATGCCAGAGCAAAGCTCTGGGTAATCCGGGAGTGAAAACATCTCCTGCATCAGAGATCCTGTACTTTGCAGTAGAATTAAGAAGTAACAGTCTCTACAGGATAAGGCATACATCCACTTACTTGGGGATTGCTGTAGATTTCATGTATGGCTATCTAAATTGAAGACTAGTGAATCCCTAAATACATTATACTTTGTTACTGTGTGTGCCACTGTCAGTTTGTGGACAGGGCTGGTTGTGTGCCACTGTTACAGCCACCTCTTCCCCAGCAGGACCCCTCCCAAGGCATAAAATGTTTCTTGAAGGTGCCACCTCTGCCACTCAGCATTTTATCCCTCATCTCTAAATCATTATGGGTTTAGAGTGCACTGTTCCTTTTCTTCATTTCCTCTCATGTAATAAAATCACCTGTCATTGTTCAACAAGATTAAATCTATCTCTGATCCAATGCCATTTTACCCACTCCCTTAAGGTAACAGGTAGAAGAATAGCCTTCCTATGATACTACCAAAAGCATTGGTTTTCTTTGACAAGAACTCTGAAAATGAAGGGAAATGCACTCTGACTTTGTGACTTCATCCGATTTTCTGGGTCTAGTACCAGACTTCAAGGTTTCCCTCAGAGAAAGGGTGTAATACTGAATCCTTGAGCTTCACTTGGGTTGATAAAATCTTCAACTATATTTCCTAGGCAGAAAAATCCTCAGGATCTTGCCTGTCTCCTGCCTGTTTACTCCAGTAAAATGCTGTTACCCACCCAGTTGCCAACCAACATCCATCTACTGGAACTTTCTTGGGCAACCTTCTCAAGCTGCGAGAGTTGAAAATTACATCTGAAGAACGTGTTCAAATTGAAAAATTAGGGGAGTTGTTTCTTTTGTAGGCTACGTGTGGATGCTGTTATGTTTCATTTCTTTACTCTAGCTAACTCCAACTAAAATAGTGATAAAATGGCAAAATAATTTTTAATACTGTTTCTCTTTAATCTAGGACCTCTTGGATTTACATGGGTAAAACATTACTGCACTTACGATAAAGGAACAAAGACATTTACAATGAGTATAGCTGAAACAAAATCTAGTGGAAAAGTGGTGAGTTGCACATTAATGAACACATACATGAATGTATATTCCGTCTTTTATATTAAGCATTCAGGAAATGCTAAAAGAAAAAAATGTCATGAACAAAGCATAAGACTTTTCATATATGAAACAGTGCATGTCTTATATAGCATAAATATTTAAATATAAGTATTTATTTTAAAACTTATATAAACCACATATTTAATAACTTCCCTAATGAAATAGTTCCAAGTGTATATGAAATCAATCACATTTGCACAGAATCACAGAATGGATGAAGTTTGGATGTGAACTCTGGAGATCATCTAGTTTAATCTCAATTCAGGATCAACCAGTGCAGGTTAGCGAGGCCTTTGTCCAGTCAGGTTTTAGATATCTCCAAGGATGGAGACCCCACAACCTCTGTGGGCAGCCTGTTTCAGCATTTGACCTCTATAAAAAAGCTTTTTCTTAAGTTCAGATGGAATTACCTGTATTTCAGTTTGTGCCCATTGCCTCTTGCCCTTTCACTGGGCACCCATGAAGAGAATCTGACTCATTCTTTACTCCTTCCCTTTGGGTATTTATAGATAGATCACTGATATGATCCCTTTTCTCCAGGCTGAGCAGTCCCAGCTCTCTCAGCCTCTCTTCATATGAGAGATGCTCCAAGTCCTTAATCACCTTGGTAGCCCTTTCTCTAATACATCACTGTCTCTCTCGTGCTGTGGAGCCCAGCACTGGACACAGCACTCTGGAAGTGTCTCATCAGGTCTGAACAGAGAGTGAAGATCACCTCCCTTGACCTGCTGGAAGTGCTTTGCCTGATGCAGCCTAGGAGGCTGTTTGCCTTCTTTGCTGCAAGAGCATATTGTTGGCTCACGGTCAACTTTTGCCCACCAGGACCTCCAGGTCCTCTTTTGCCAGGAGGCTTTCATCCTGTCAGCCCCAGCCTGTTCTGGTGCCTGGGGTTATTCCTATTCATTCTAAACAGTGCTGGCCTCAGTATTGACCCCTTGGACATACCACTACTGACTGGCAGCAGCTGGACTTCTGGTGTGACTTCTGCAGTTCAGCTCCTTTTCAGTTCACTTCACCTATTTATATAGACTGTACTTCACCAGTTTGTCTATGAGGATGTAGTAGGAGATGCTACTATAGTAGGATATAGTGTCAAAAGCCTGGCTAAAGTTGAGAAACAATGTTCTTCCATCATCCACTGAGCCATTGTAGAGGGCTATCAAGTTGATCCTGCATGATTTCCCCTTCTTTAAATCCATGCTGGCTTCTTCCAGTCACCTTTTTGTCCTTAATATGTTTGGAAGTGCTTTCCAGGATTATTCGTATCATCACCTTCCCAGGGATCAAGGTGATGCAGACTAGCCTGTAGTTCCCCACAGGACAAGAGGAAACAGCCTCAAGTTGCACCAGGAGAGGTTTAGATTGGATATTAGGAAAAATTTCTTCACCAAAAGGGTTGTCAAGTATTGGAACAGGCTGCCCAGGGAAGTGGTTGAGTCACAATTGCTGGACGATTTAAAAGACATCTAGATGTTCTACTTAGGGATGTGGTTTAGTGGTGGTCTTGGCAGTATTGCATTTACAGTTGGACTCAGTGATCTTAAGGGTCTTTTCCAACCTAAATGATTCTGTGATTCTAGATCCTTCTCCTCCTCTTCTTGAAAACAAGAGTGGCATTTGCTTTCTCCCATTCTTCAGAAATTCCCCAGATTGCGTCAGCATTTCCAACATTATACAGTGGCCTCACAATGATGGTGGCCAGAACTAGGAGTTAGTCACCTTTATTCTTTAGAAATCTTTTTATCTGCATGTAAGAGTTGACATAACTACATATTTGTTTTAACATGTAACATATAATCATGTCATATACTCAGATGTTTGTAAAGTTTTGAATTTAGGGAGTTTTCTGAAATACAGTGATTAAATAACATAAATGTGACAGAACACTATTAACTGTAGTCTTACTTTATATACAGAGAAATTCTTGTGTATGTTCCTAAATAATTTTAATCCCTGTCTTAAAACATGTTCTTTGGACTGTTCATACAATTAAATTTAAGATGTGAAGCCAAGGTATATCAGCATGCTGGCTGTGCTAATTTTGTTTTGTTTTGTTTTATAGAACGGCCTAGTCACAAGCTCACCAGAAATTTTCAAGCTAAAATCTTGCATCAGGAGAAAGACAGATTCAATTGACAAACGTTTCTGTTTTGATATTGAAGTATTTGAGAGGTTTGATTTTTTCATTTTCATTTAATTATTGAAAATAATTAAAAATAAAACCACTTTTAACTAATATATAATAATTACTCCTGTAATAGGAACACGTATTTCTCAATATGTTTGTATCCAGACAAACTAGGCATTCAAGACTTAATAATTATTTCCTCAAACCTGTTTTTCTAACAAAATTCGCTACATTGCTTATGTGTTGTCTTAACTACATTATGTTTGCATGCAGTTACAAGATAGATTTGTACAGAACCTGTAGCACAACTGACTACCCTCTTTTAGGAACAGATCATAAATATCTTTATAAATACTTACAAATAAGCATATTCTGTACCAATATTTTATTTCTTTCAGAAATGTATGATAACGTATCATTTTTGTTTTTTGAAAATTACTTCCACAATTTTTTTTTTTTCACTTAGTCCTGGATATGATAATTATATTAAATGGATGAGAACAGCTTTTCTGTATTTGATGTATATGTACACAGTAATTTGTAAAAGTATTTTTTGAAGCTTAGGAATAAAGAGAAAATAAAGAGAAATATTGAATTAATTTTTCTCTTAAAATGTGATAAATAGACTGAGTTTTGTAGTCATTCTGTTAAGAAATATTTTATGACTTACTGTTATTTTAAATTCCATTTAGAACTGCTGTATTTGCATGATAATTTTGAGGCTGCTTTGGTACTTTCAAATATAATACATTATCTTTCTAAAATAGACTTCCGAGTGAGTTCAGGTTTAAGAAGTAGAAATTTGATACGGACAGATGCTGAGACCAGCTGGTCTCTTGAAAGCTTCTAAGCTTGAATTGACAGATTGACTTTGAAATTTGTAGTTGTTTATTTCTAAGTAGCATTGCATTTATTGGACACATCTGTGGCAGTACCACCGTAACGTATTCACAAGCAAGTGTTGTCCCTCCTCTCTCCCTTACTCTGCTAGAACATCCACAGTTCAACAGAACTGTACAGAACAATTAGTTACATCTGTAATTCCTCAAGTTCTCATTAAAGAGATAGTTACAGGCACTTTTTACATATCTTTTATTCCTTTTGGTCATTTTGATTGATTAAAAATGTGCATGGCCTGTAAGCTAAAGGCATTCTGGAAACTTGGACAGAAGATTGAAAGGGGAGTGGAATACAAAGTTACTTGGTTATTATTGTAAGGATCTAACTTTCACAGGCTAATAGGAAGTTTACTTTTCCAATTGACTTGGTATTCAGCAGGGAAGTAGTGAATTTTTGTACACGTCAAAAGAGGAGATAAATAGACAATGAAACACCTAGAAATATTTGGTGGGAGTTCATAGACACGGGCAACATTAATCTCTTCTGAATGTCATGTTGATAAAATTTGGGTTTCCCCTAAGAAAGAGAAAATGCAGTGGCCATTACTAATGTCAGTGATGACTAAGAATGTGGGTGAGTTCCTATAAATATAAACACAGTACTGGAATACTGAGGATTCAAAAAGACTGTGATAATGATTACATTTGAACTAACTTTAAATCCAAGACTTTATTTTGTTTACTTGAAGTATAACATTGGACATCACCTGCAAAATACATAAAAACTTTAGAAATAGTTGACATGAGTAAAAGATAAGTTTCCTCAATAACATGAGGTTATGACTTTCCATCATGAAAGAAAGACCTCTTTTTAAAAATATGCAGTTACACCAGCCTTCAAAATTTTGTTGCAAGATTTTATGGGTAACTTCTGTCTCCAAACACCTTATCTCACAGAGCTAATTCTCTCCTTGCATTATTATATGCAACATTGTATGAAACATTATATTAAATACTATTTTATTAAAACATTGGAAAACCGTGCAGACAGATATGCACATCTCATTTCATGAAAGAGCCATGCTAACTGAAAGAAACCCTTGTGAACAACTAATGGAGAACACACAATATGAGCCATCTATATTAACATAATTAATTTAAAATTTACCTAGGTGTTTTTCTCACCTACATTCAGCTCAGGCTTCTTGTAAAACTGTTCTAGACGTTACACCATCTTATTTGTACTGGAGCTTTATAAAAAGGTAACTTCAAAAAGTGTGTTTCGCTTTGAATGTGATTTTCATTTCTGAGAAATTGCCAAGTATTTCAATAACTAAAGAGGAAGTTAGTTCCAAATGGATTTGAGTTGGTTTGGGCTTGCTTTTTTAAAAAAAAAAAAATAAACTAACATTCAGGGATTATAGTGTTAGATATTTGAGTGTTAAAACATGCTATACAATGACTGCAAACTTGGCCAACAGATTAAATCAGAAATCCAGAGCTGAAAGCAAGTATCTCTAAGCTTGAAGTAAAATGACACTCAGAAATTTCTGTTCTTTCTGTACATGCTGACCAAGGGACTGTAAGTATAAATGCAATTTTCCAACTGAAATATTAAACAGTAGTCACAATAGAAAGAATAATAAAAAAAGTCGGTTTCTATTTCTAAAATGTCTTTGAGAGAGAAGTTCCTAGTTAAGAGTCTGTGGGTAGGTAGCGAGATGGAATCTTAAAACAGAAATAAACTTAGACTTTAAGAAAATACAAAAACAATTATACATCTTAATCTGGATTAACTGTACTTTTTTACACTGATAATGGTAGATAGCAAACAAAATACTCAGTTTGGCATTTTTATGTGTAAGGGCAGGGCTTGCTCCTCCTTGAACGTGTACAAAGAGATGTTTTGATATTTTATGTTGTCCAGTTGCTTTATTGCATGCTTTTTAAATGCAAGGTGACAATGTAGGCCTTTTGGAAGTAGGAAAGGATGGTGTTTTTTTGATTATTTATGATTGAAGATGAATACCTTGTAAAAAACAGAGTTTCCTTTATTTGTGAACCTACCATAGAAAAATCAAAGTTTTGGTCAGTCTGCTGAAAGTTTTGAACAGAGATACACTACACTGCTGTCGGAGTAGGCCTTTTTAAAATGGACTGTCTCATGGGCATTCTATGTTGGCAAACCAGTGAATTAATTTCAGAGCATTTCTTAAAGAACTCATTTGGCTGGGCTCACAAATAGAAACTGATTCTTTGTATTTACGTGTCTGTTCATGTAATTATTCCAGGAACAAAGATTAAAATTGGTTCCCTCATCCCTTCACTGATTCCCTTGACTCTTTCTATGAAATTTCACAGCTTCATCAACAGAGAGGATATGCCACTTTTCTATCTTCTGTCATAACAGTTAGAGCACAGCTGGCAGAAAGAACTGTTTTTTTGAATCCTCTCAAGTAAAAAATTCCTGCTACTCAGCTTAGTTGGCTTTACATCTCCACACTTGAGATACTACCTTGAAGAGCTCTTTTTAGGCAACCATTTTAGGGCACGTTTGACCAACTTTAGATGTCTCTTGTGGGATATGATGACTTTTAGATTAAAAGTACCTACTTCTCTTGATTTGCTATGAAAGGAATGTAGATAACCAGCTCAGGCATAGACATATTTAATCAAATTGAACTGATGTATCTTGCCCTTAAGTTTTCCACCCTCAGCATCACTCCACTGAAAAATGGGTTGTATGCGATCCTGTTTGTAGGTATATAGCTCATCTTGCAATATGGAGGTGCCTAATACCTATTAGAGGATTGTAGCACTTCAGACTAGGCATGTCAAATTAGGTGTTGCAGTACAGAACTTTTGAAAAACAGACCTGTTCTTAAATCTAGCTCAAAGTTACTGTGTTATGTCAGAAGCTAACAACTTTCTTTAACTTGTCTCTGTCTTTTATGTATTCACTTCATGTTAACATGGATTTGGATTCTGACTTTGGATACTGTTTGAGAAAGAGAAATTAATAACTTCAGTGTATACATATGTTTTTGACAGACCTGGAATCATCACACTGCAAGCTTTTTCAGAATCCAACCGAAAACTTTGGCTCGAAGCTATGGATGGAAAGGAACCAGTAAGGATATTTTTTAATTTTCTTCTCTTTCTACAGTTTTATGGCACACATATTAAAGAAAGAAGCTAGTATTCATTTCAGATACTCTGTTACAATACAGTCAAATAGAGTTCTGTTCTTTGTGAGACACTATCTACACAGTACACAGTGAAGGTAGGTACAAAGTAGAAAAGCAGAACTATTAGTCAGTTTAAACTTTTATCCAGAGATTATTATGTTATGTTAGAATATTTAATGTTTAAATAATATGATAGCATGTTGTCTAATAAGATTCATGGTTCAGATAACATTTGTGAAATGGTGGTTTCTGCATTGGTAAAGACAAACCATATTTTGGGCAGCGTCATGGAGTAAACAATTAGCACCATCTTGAAAGGCACTGCAGAGAGTGTAAAAATGTGTTGAAAGCTACTAGGAGACAGGCTTGTCTGAGATTTCTTTCCACTATTAATCTGCTCTTAAAATAGTCACTGAATGAAGGTGATGCCAGACCTGTATTCAAGGGGAAAAAAATGGTTGATCAGTTTTATGAGATTGGTGCGTGGTTTTACAAGCTTCTTGCTTGACTGAAACTAAAGAAATTAGATCAGTAGTCGTATTGAAATTTAACCCATCTGGAGTCTGCAAATCTGAGTTCTAACACATTTTAGGTGCCTATCCTAGCACAGGGTTGTTAACCTGGGTAAATACTGCAGGGATAAACATCAAGAGAAGGTGAAAGGCAAGGTTAGCTTTCCTCTAGCAGCAAGCTAATACACAGCATGTTGCAACTGCCAACAAACCTGGTAATAAAAAATATAAAGCACAAACATTGACCCGTTGTAATTTTTTTTTTTTACAGATCTACACACTGCCAGCCATTATTAGCAAGAAGGAAGAGAGTAAGCTCTTTATTTATGTAGTTACCACATATTGCTAGATTTCTATAATATCCTTGTTTCTAAATATGTCTGTGTGTGAGATTAATTATTTCACGTTTTCTTTCTGTTGCTATGAAATAACTGTTTGTTGCACTGAATGATGGCGTTACAGAAAAGCACATCCTAAGCTGTGTAAACTGTGAGAAAGCCTTCAACTTTTGTATTACTATCAAACATATATTGGAATAAAATTTGATTGGCTCCAAAGCTACAATATATTTAATAAACTTGTAGAAAGTTTCTATCAGAAGTCTGTATACCTAAATGTAAATACATGCTAGTGTGCTGAAATAATATCCCTATATAGAATCACAGAATCATTTAAGTTGGAAAAGGCCTTTAAGATCATCAAGTCCAACCATGAACCTAACACTGCCAAGTCCACCACTAAACCATGTCCCAAAGCACCACATCTACATGTCTTTTAAAAATCTCCAGGGATGGTGACTCAACCACTTCCCTGGGCAGCCTGTTCCAATGCTTGACAACCTTTTTGGTGAAAAAAAATTCTTCCTGATACTCAATCTGAACCTCCCCTGGTGCAATGGGAGGCTGTTTCCTGTCATCCTGTCACTTGTTACCTGGGAAAAGAGACCAACAGCCACCTCGCTACAACCTCCTTTCAGGTAGTTGTAGAGAGCAATAAGGTCTCCCCTCAGCCTTCTCTTCTCAAGGCTAAACAGCCCCAGTTCCCTCAGCTGCTCCTCACAGGACTTGTGCCCTGGACCCTTCACCAGCTTCGTTACCCTTCTCTGGACACGTTCCAGCACCTCAATGTCTTTCTTGTAGTGAGGGGCCCAAAACTGAACATGGGATTCGAGGTGCAGCCTCACCAGTGCTGAGTACAGGGTGACAATCCCTTCCCTAGTCCTGGTGGCCACGCTATTTCTGATACAAGCCAGGATGCTATTGGCCTTGGCCACCTGGGCACACTGCTGGCTCATATTCTGCTGGCTGTCGACCAACACCCCCAGGTCCTTTTCTGCCAGGCAGATTTCCAGGCACTCTTCCCCAAGCCTGTAGTGTTACATGGGGTTGTTGTGACCCAAGTGCAGGACCCGGCACTGAGCCTTGCTGAACCTTACACAGTTGGCCTCGGCCCATCACATCTTTTCGTCTTTAGATGCGTATGCACCTACTACACATGTACTGAGCAATAAAAGTAGTGTATTTAAAGATACTATGAGATTTATGTGCATAATTGTATTAACATATTAACACATACATGTTATTATATTTATTACATATTATATTTTTGCATGTTATTATATTATATATTATATTATTATATTAACACATACATGTTATTAACATATTAACAAAAAATAATTTAAATATATGTGTGGGTGTATGTATCTCAGAGAGAGAGATGTGTTAGATATAGACATACATCTTCATAGGAGGTATATTTGAGATTCTGAAAATCTAAAATTTAAGCCACAACCTCTGTTTTTTATAGATGGTATTTATTTTAATGGTGACAAATATGATGCTTTAAGATATTCTTTATTTAGCTAGTTAGAGCAGTAAGCATTAAAGACGCAAAAATTGATGCAAAATAGTTTCTCTTGAAATAAGATCACTAATTATTGTAATTAACAAATTTTATTTTCTCATGTTACCATTTTATGAGTGGTTCTGTGCATGTGCAAGGAACAAAGAATGTTGTTTTATAACCAATGAATATATTCTGTTCATAATGTAGGCCCTGAACCCCTAAAAGCTTTTTCTTCAGCAGAGGGAAGGGAGTACAGTAGTCTTTTAAAGCAACAAGCTTTCAGCTCTATGTGTAGAGGGGCTGCTGATTTCCGAGAAAGACAGTAGAATATTCTGCTCTTAATGATAAACTAATGATTAGAAAGTTGGATTTTGAGTGCTAAGCATATATCTACAAAAATACTGTTACAGAATAACTATCACAATCTCATTGATAAATGTGTATCAGTCCTTCTTGACTAAGATGAATGTAGCTAAACACGGAGATTTTGTGTATTAAGTTAGAAAATAATTACTTTTTTTTTCTTCTGTTTATAGTGTTCTTAAATGAAGCAGGTTTCAACTTTGTGAGGAAATGTATTCATGCTGTAGAAACAAGAGGTGTGTATTAAATCACAAATTATGTACTATATTATTATTTTTTCTCAAATATTACTTTGGTTAAGTCTACATGTTTTATAGCTGTGCTTTGCAGTGTGCTCATCATTTGCTTTGTACTTTTCACATTTCATCTCTGTGCTTTACACTTAAAACTGTTGCCACATATTCCAACAGTAGTTCCTAACATAACATTTCAGTGAGTTTTTTTAAACATTTTCTGTTGTTTAGACAGCTTAATAGACAGTTGCACACATCTTTAGTCTTTAATTTGTGTGTACGGAATTGTGCTTTCTCGTAAAACGATAAGGAGCCTCAGCTCCCAACTTTGGTTTTTGCCTTGAAACCTGAATACCAAAAAGCAGCATGAATACTCTCTGTCGGAACATCTTTTTGCAAAGTGTAACTCCTATCATTTTCACTCATTTTGCACATGATTTATTAATTTTTTTAAATGTTTAGAAACTCATTTTTGGTATTGGGAATGTACAAAAATAAAATAATAATGACTCTACTGGTGAGGTGGTATCTTGCAATTCACAGCAAGTTTTTAATTAGCCCCTTCCAAATTAAGAGGTATGGCTTTATCATCTCACATAAAAAGAGGTAACTTTTTCCTGTCCATGCACTGAACTGTCACTGTGCAACTCTCTTGTAACTCAAAAGCTGTGTGGTCTCTCTGCAGCATTGAGCTCAGCATGAATTCAGTTTCTCAGGTAACAATGTTATGTAGCTTTTGAATCACTGCTGACTCAGAACTTGCATTTTTTTCTGGGGAAAAAAAAAGGGGGGTTCAAAACAAAACACCTAGGTTATCTAAGTGAGATCAGACTTTGGAATGTTGTTTTCAAAGGAAAAGTGAACAATTTTTAAATGGTAAGACCTGAAGTGGGGAGAAGGGAAGAGTTTTAAATCTACTGATTTTAAAAGGCAGTTAAAAACAATAAAATTATCATCACTGGAATACTGGAATACAATATTGTGAATGTCACTCTTTAAACATTATTTGCTATTAGTATCTGTGCTATTAAAAATAACCCCCACAACTGAAACTTACGGGTAAATTGGGACTTGACTGTCTCTCTTTTGCATGGGGATCCACGTTTAACACAAATTCTCAGCTGCAGTGTTGCAACAGTATACAGTATATGTTTTTATTTTGGGTACAATCTTTTTCTCATATAAATATGAGTCAAATCTTAATTGAAAGGGCTGATGTTCTAAACAAATGCAGATGCATAGTAATGATACTGAAGTCTAGATAAGATAAATTTGTTGACATGTAATGTGTTTTAAGACTGATTTTGTGTCTTATTTTTCACTTTTCCCAGCCATCTCGTTGTTTCCTAATACGTGTCATTTCTGTGTGAAAGCATTCGGTTAATGTAAAATTATGGTTAGTGTATAGTATGTTGTAGATTCAGTGGAATGCATTTGTTAACATCCCAGAAGATAATTCAGTAGGGTAAAACAGTACTCAAGAATGTAATTGTACACTTTTCTGTAAATACGTTTAGATGTTTTGAAAACATACACCAAGGATGCATCAGCATATATTGAACTAACCATATTTTCATTATATTCATTGTACTTGTTTTCCCAATGTAGGTATTACAATCCTGGGGCTGTACAGAATAGGTGGTGTAAACTCAAAGGTGCAAAAGCTGATGAATACCATATTTTGTAGGTATCTGAAGTGAACTTTTGTTACTGTACAGTGTATGTGCTATGCTCCCTTTTGCCTTAACTGCTGTGCCCAGAAGAGTATGTCATAATATTTACAATTTTGTATGTGCACTTACTGCCACTAAATAGAGTTTGCAGCCTTAAAACGAGTGATCCAACTAGTTTCTTGTGTGCATTAGTATCCAATTGCTGCATGTAATCATCTATATGCATGAACAAATTACTGATAAAATGCATTTCTTCTTTTTGTTTTGAAGTTCTATTTATTGGTATCTATTTGGTGTATTCCAGAAGTGTTCCAAAGCTTAGTTCTGTAACACAGCATAACTCAATTTAATAGACAGTTATTCTAGTCTTTCACTTTTCTTGCTAATCTGGTGTGCTGATGCCTATGTTTGAATGTCTAAGACAAATGTATTAGTAATTCTCTGTTGCCTTGGGCTTATTTTACACTTTGATACAGTGCATATACTTAATGTTTACAGGTACTAAATATGAGTGCTAAATTATTTTTTATTAATACTTCAACAGAGATTAAAAGATTCAAATTGTTCAGATTGGTAGTTAAACTGACTCATGAGTAATCACATAAGGTACCTGACTAATCTATTAGCCTTGTTTTGCTGCTTTTCTAGTTAGTGTGTTAGCCAAACTGTAACACAATCATAATTCAACTTTCTACCAGCTCCTAAATCTCCTCCTGATATGGATATTGATATGGAACTTTGGGACAATAAAACAATAACAAGTGGACTAAAAAACTACCTCAGGTAAGTATGATGTTACACAATCTCAGTATTCCTTTTCTGGCCCATTAATTTTTTGCTTATTCATATCATATTACATTTCTTGTATTCATTAGCATAGTAATAATTGAGTATATTATTATCTTGCCTAATATCCTTGTGATTATGTGTAATAATAAATATAAAATTTGTCACATACTTTCTGCCTTATTAAGATAGTCATGCCTTATATAGCCTTAACTTTGGCAGAATTTAATTAATTGTATGTTTTTATTTAGCATATTTTATGTTAATCACAAACCATGTTGTGCTCAGTCTTTCTTTTCCAAATCCCTTAAGTTGTGTGCCATGAGGTTTCACGGCATCATTTCTGGAGCAGAATAAGAATGTCTGCCAAAGCATAGGTTTTTATCCTATGCTGTTGGTGTCTCACAAATAGTATCTCTCCCACAGTACCATTTTCTCCTAAAATTTTTGCTAATAAGAGACAGGATTGTCAAGAATTATGGTATTTCTGAGAGAACTCTTTTTTGGGTCTCAATATATAACATTCAAAAGAAACGTAATAAAAAGCATCAAATTCAGATGGTGGGTGTTCAGTGCCTTCTAAAACTCTAGATTTCCTAAACTGGTCACCTTACAAAAGGCAGCATTAGAAATCCCTATTCACTCTGGAAAATATGCCTAGGATTTATAGTGTAATGCCCACATACACTTTATTGAAGAGACTGACTTTGGTCGAAGAAATTTATAATAAATCTTCAGAAGCACAAATCATTGTAGGTACCGTGTTTGTAAATTTAAAGCATGAGCTAGCAGTAGCTGTATGTTTGTGTCTATAAGGCACTTCACAGTCTGCCTTCAAAGGATGACTCTTCTAGAATCTCTCCAGATCAGAATTTCAGTTCAAAATTTCATCATGTTTTGGCCTTTCTTGAGCAAAAGATTGCTTCTGCAGCCCACTGTACCACATTCTGCAGCTGTATTTATTCCTCTTCTACACTATAGAAGCCAGAAAACAATGAGTCTCTGTGGTGAAGTCAGTGCTGGTAATATTTCCCTTATTAAATTACATGGTGACACCAGATTCAACTCAAAAAGATATTCAGACTATGTATGTGACTGAGTTGTATACTACTTGTAATCAGTCATCACTGAATTGGGTGTACTGGGACATACCAATGTGCAAATGTTTAGGGCTGTCATAATCACACCCATAAAACCTAAAAAGACTTTGAGTAATGCTTTTTTTTAAATTTCCTTTTAATATTTTTTTACAACCAGGTGTCTTTCAGAACCACTGATGACTTTCAAGCTGCACAAAGATTTCATTGTTGCTGTTAGTAAGTAAAGTAATAAATATACTTTTATGAAAATAATACTGTTTCTAACCCTCAGTGTCATCAGTTACTATCCTTACTTTTCTCCTTGGTCTATTATTCAGTGATCCAGCCATGGATCCGAGTTCTTCCATGTCACTCTATGTGACAGCACAGTGCCACATGAAAACTCTCAAAACAGAGACGTCACACTAGATGAAGCTGTTCAGTGGGTTGTTCTGATCTTTTTGGAGGTTCTCTGTGACTGCCTTGTGCATGAAATTTTGAATCTTGATTTATATGTTTGTTTGTTTTACACAGGCTGATAATTTGTTTATAGCATTCATCTCTCTCATCCAGGGACCTTTATTTTCCCAGCTTGCCCTGAGAAATTGGAGGGGCGATAATTGTCATATTTTCACAAATGAAGTAATTAGATACAGAGATAATAAGAATGTTTGCTAGCAACTCCAGTTTAGAATTTGAAGTTATTTCCCCATTTCCTCTTGCCTTGATAAGAACTAAAGACACTGGAGATTTTTAGATATTTTAAATATTGAGGAGTAAAATCTTGGATTTCACTCAAGTGGCACATTAGGTCAACGTTGCCACTAAATTTGTTGTTTCCAGAGTCAGTGGTAATTGCTTTTGGTGAGTTACTTGAAACATAGATTTCAGAATGTTGTAATCAATATAATCAAATTGTCCTCCTCATTTTAAAGTCTAATTGTGTTTGGCTCTTTGTAATGCATGTGTGTATTAGCATACAGGCATTGGTGCCATTTGTAGTCGCATCTTAGCACATGTTCTAATTTATCAACAATATTTGTTTTCTGTTCAATAGAGTCAGATGATCAGAACTACAGAGTTGAGGCAGTGCATGCACTTGTGCATAAGTTACCAGAGAAGAACAGAGAGATGCTGGACATCCTTATCAAGCACTTGGTCAAGTAATTATTTTTGATTTTTCCTTTGGTATATACTATAAGATGTGATTATTTCTGCATAGATCTGTCAGTGTTGCTTAGTTCATTCTCTGTGTTGAAACAACGCCACTTGAAATCACATTTAATTTCTAAAATGCTGTTCTCAACATAGCTGAAGAATGCTCATTGTAGAAACAATAAAAAATAATACCCTAAAGAGTCACCAGGATGAGCAACTCTGTTTATAAAATAAAACCACTCAATGTTTTTATTCGCATTACTACTTACTACAGGAATTGTCACTAATTAAATTTAATAAACGTCTAAGGTTGATAGAAAATGATATTTTGAATCTGACTTGAGGTCCCACACTGTTTCAGAAATGGAGAGTAGACTAATGTGATAATACTCATCCTTCATGTTAGATCTTATTTTTCTAACAATTGTGAAGTGTGGTATCATTTAAAAACTCTAATTTGAAGTATTATTATTTACATTTTTTATATCTATATAAATTTCCAAACCCACTTTTGAATCTCTGTCGTTTCGTCAGCATCTCTGTTTATTAATTAAATATCAGATGGAAAAGATCTTACATTTCTTTGAACTGATGACCTTTTGTCTTCACTGAATTACATTTTGCATGTGTTGTGAGACAAAAAAGACAAGTTTTTATTCTCTTACATCTTCCTATATCACTAGGCATGAATACATACCATTATTACATTGTAATTTATCTTGTCTATGTATCAAACATTATTCATGTAAGTTTTAGTAAATCTTTGGTCATTTTTTACTGATATTTGCTGAATAGTTTTTAATATGTATTACTCTTTCTGATTTAGGATGCTATATACTTTTTAGTACATTTCTCAACGATCGGGGAATGTGAATACTGAAACAGCAGTTGTTCAGATAAGGCCCACATGACTGAGATATGTAGAAGACATAAAAGAGGAGTCCATATTGTTTTCATTCCGTTCATTACGTTCCTGCTATTTTGCTTTTTTTGATCACAGCTTGAGCCACAAGCTGCAGTAAGCTGTCTACAGTGGAGCCTAATACAGTTTTGCTTTCTCTTTTAGATGTGAGAACTTTTAAAATTTCTTGGATAGGAAATTATTTAGCCCTAATAAGTTATTTTTAGCCCTTTATGTCATAGCCCCTGGAGAATTAACATGATAGCAAGCTCCTGTGAATGCTTCCACTGCAAAAACTGATTAGACAGAGCTTACATTTCGTTGTACATGGGGTAACACAGAGAACCAGATGAAAGCAAGCTTCATAAGTTTTCTTACTCTCAGGGTTGCTTGATTAGCTAAAAAAATATAATACCTACTGCTTTCTAGCCTTCTAAAAAGTTAAAACATTTAATGACGGATTAATGATTTTGTAAATGCTGCTAGTCTGGAAGCCCAAAACCTAAAAAATATGTATGCATAGGAACTGACTGACTTGTAGGCAGAATTAAGTATAGTCAACTATTTCTTTCTTGACCTCTTTTCCTGGCTTCTTTATTCTCAATGTGACCTCAGGTGCATTTACAAAGAAAAGCATGCCTGTAGTATTCCCTTCTTTAATTCTTCTCTTTAACTCTTGCCTATTTAATCTTCAGTGTGATTCTCATTTCCAGTAAATGTAATCTTATGGTTTTATACTGAAAACCTTCAGTTCTTTTCTTTCTAGAGTTTAATTAATTCACCCCTTCTTATTTCTCATATAATTTGCCAGCTGTTGTTTATGCTATCATTTCTAATGAGACTTAAAATGAGAATTAAAAATTAATCTCTTGAGGGTTTTAGTTATCTTCCTGCCTCATCTTTTTCCCACCACTGTGTGGAGATTTTTAAAGGAACAAATGGCAAATAAAGTGCCTGATTTTATGAAAATGGGAAAATATGAAAAAAAAAAAACAACATCTTGCTTCTTCATTCTTTTGTTTAAAATCCAATTTCAAAACGTACATCCTTTATCTATATTTCTTTTAGCTGTTCAGTTCCTTTATGTATGCTTTTGTGTCTGGGTGAAAATACTATACCTTTAACTATGGGTTATAAAATAAGGATAATATTTTTTTCTTGATTTAGGTCTTAAGGTCATTACATGTCTGCCTACCTTGACTTTTGTGTCACTGTGCAAAATTAAATACGATCTAGATGTTACAGGATATAGATCATAGTAAAAACGAATAAGCAAACCCAGCAAATCCTGAAAAGTACCCTGCAAAGAGGTGATACTCCATGAGTATGTACTAAGTCAGCAGCTAGGCCAACACGGGAAGTTTGGTGTTATTTTCACACAGGTAATTCATTTTTTGTTTTTAAACCTTCCTAGTTGTCCTGGTTTGAGGCCAGAGTGAAACTGAGCACCACTCACTCCTTCCCCCTCAGGGATGGGGAGGAGAAAATAAAAGCAAAAGCTCAGGTATCCAGACAAGGACAGGGAGGGATGACTCACCCATTATGGTCACAGGCAAAAGACAGACTCGGCCGGGGAAGAAAAATAACATCAAGTTAATTTAAACAATACCACCACTTAATTTTCCAACCAGAGTCAGACAGTGAGAAATACAACCACATCTTAAAAATACCTTCCCTCCCACCCCTCCCTTCTTCCAGGGCTCAGCTTTCCTCCCGATTTCTCTCCCTCCTCCCCTCCAGTAGTGTGGGTGACAGGGAATGGGGGGTTGCAGTCAGTTCATCACTGATTGTTTCTGCCACTCCATCCTCCTCCACAGGAGGACTCCTTATGCTCTTCCCCTGCTCCAGCATGGGGTCCTTCTCATGGGAGACAATCCTTCACAAGCTTCTCCAATGTGAGCCCTTCCCACCGGCTGCAGCTCATCACAAACTGCTCCAGCGTGGGTCCCTCCCACGGGCTGCAGTCCTCCCAGTGACAGACTGCTCAGGCAGAGGCTACCCTCAGAGTCCCACCCTTCTTTGGGCACAGCCACCTGCTCCGATGCAGGGTTCTCCATAGGCTGCAGGTGGGCATCTGCTGCACCGTGGCCTCCATGGGCTGCAGGGGACAGCCTGCCCTCTCACCACCAGCTACAGGGGACTCTGCTCCGGTGCACCTCCCCTCCCCTCCTCCTTTCTTCCTCTGACCTCAGTGTTTGCACAGGTATCTCCCTCACAACTCCCCACTCCTCTCAGGTTCCCCTTCTTAAATATGTTATCACAGAGGTGCAGCCATCATCGCTAATTGGCTCGACCTTGGCCAGAGACAGGTCCGAATTGGAGCTGGAGGAGCTTCGAGAAGCTTCTCACAGGGGCCACTGCTGTATCCCCCTCCCCTGCTACCAAAACCCTTCCCCACACACACACAAACCCAACACACTGGTCAAATCACCTTCTAAAGAATAAATCGTTCTTTGGTATGAGTTAATAACACATTACTTTTCTAAGGTAGATAGTTGGGATGCTGCAATCTGGCAGTATCAAAATTTACTGGTGATATATCAAAGAAAGACATTTTGAGAAGAAATCAACTGCACCTTAATGAATGCCTTACAGCTACCTGAAATGCATGATTATCTTGGACTGTATCTATTCAGTAGCCTAGCAGCAGTAGGCCTAGGTCAGGGGAAATTGGCTTTCAAAATGATCCATTTATAGGCCTGGGGTTTTTCTCTTTTGCAAGAAATTGAGCCTTTGAAATGCTTCGTAGAAAGTCCTTCCTCCTTACAATGTTATTAAATTCACCATTCCTTTTATTAACCAAGATACCAAATTTGTAACCAAGGAGACCTGAATACAGGACAAACACTGCTTTCCCTCTTATGCTAGAAGACTATGTTTGTGTAAGAGACCTTAACAGTTACTCTGCAGCACAAAGCAGAATAACATTGCAAAGGGTTATTTTTTTTTTTTTAGGTTTTTCTAACAAACCTAGAGCTGCATAATTCAAAATTCCATTTTCATTAAAATACTAGTGTGTACCCTTTAAACCCCAAACATCCTTAAGTCACCTAAGCCAAACATAAGATCTGTTACAGAGAAAATTAGATTAAGATAATTGGCTAAAAATGTGCTTTAACAAGGTACTCATTTTCATTATATGGCTTCCAAATTACAATCTCTGCCAGTGTGTCTGTCTGAAGTAAATTTCTGGAAAGTTTTTTTGGCGTAACATAGTGAAGCAACATAGGAAACATATAAGACAAAAGTCATTAATTTTCCTGGAGTTTATAATCATGTTGTCTCCAATATAAACCCCTGTCCCATATTTCTCCTGCTTCTCAATGTAATTGGGGTGCTAAAATGTTCATGTTCCAAATATGAGGGGAATATTACTTCATTATAGAAGTAATTGTGCAGTCTATCTCACCTCTCTATCAGGACAATTCTACTCTTCTACTCATTCTGTGTATCATTAGTGCCTACTCAACAGTGAGACTGAGAGAAAGGGTATTGTGTTTGTCCAGACATGGGTTTGATCCTGATCCAAACAAAATCCCCCAGCAGCCTTGGGAAGATCTCACAGACTTTTTGTCACTGCTTTTCTAATCTTTGTAAGGGGATAGTATTTGTGTTACTTGCTATGAAACTCTGATATCAGATAAATCATCTTGCTAATGTTTGTATAACATGTTGAGAACAAATTAAGCTATCTGAGAATATTATTGGAAGGAAAATGTAGCAGGTGTCTCCATAAACCTGATTAATGAAGGCTATCAGAGAAAACTGGAAGATAAAACTTGCTCCTATCTGCCAGTCTTCCAGTATTTTATAGATTTTACTGTTTCTTAATTTTAAAAGGGACAAGAGTTACTTTTAATTATGTAGGAAATGGCTAAAAAGGCTCAACTTGACAATGGTAGCAGATAGCAGTGAGAAGTAAGAGGTAAATATGAACAAATGACACAATAACTGGTTCTATTCAGTAGCAGATTCAGTAAAATTAAGCATTAAGGCAATTATAGAATCTTTATTTGGCATGGTATTTCTCAGACATGAGGCAATAGGGCAGCTGTGACTGGGAAATCACTGGCAGTTATTTTGAAGGATTTATGATGATACGGTTTTTATTTGGCAAATCTTATTCATAAGGAGAGAAAATGTGCATTGAGGATTACTGATTGATGGTTTTCATTTTACTATCTGATAAATTAATGGAAAAACTAAGTTTCTGAATCCTACATTAAGAAAAATGACAGAAAAGGTACAGTAAATGATAACAGAATACACAGAAGTAAAACGTTAATGTATTTTAGTGACAGAAGATGTCATTATGATCATCTAGTGTTATCTATACCACAGAAACAGTGATTTCACTGATGCCATTGATCACATGTTTTCAACATATTAATAAAGAGATCCTATTGCAATTTAAGTGTTTTCAGTAACTAAGTTTCTTTCCTTTACATGAAAGCTTAGGTATACGGTTGACCTCTGTTATCACATAGTATTTTCAGTCAATCCAACATTAAGTATTTAAGTTCCTGTATAATCATTGGAGAGAGATAGGTGCCTACCCTAAGACTCCTAAGCCTTAGATGATCTGGATCCCTCTGTGGAGACTTTCAAAGATATTTGCTTTTCTCTATCAATTATGTCAAGAACTTAAATACTTACTCTAGGAAGATGTGCTCATTATCCATGAAGTTAATGAAGGATGGGAGCCTTAATGGAAATACAGTAGTTGTACTATACTATATTTTGACTCCAGTAGAAGTGAAAGTTTTAAAAGCATTTTTAAAAGGGAACCATGAACTTGAGATTTCATTAAAAAAGTAGTCTTAACGGGGTTTTGCCTGTTGGAATTGTAGTTTAGCACAACAATTTAATTGCATATTGTTTGTGTTCATTTAAAGGGTATCATTACACAGTCAGCAAAATCTAATGACTGTATCCAACCTTGGTGTTATCTTTGGACCAACTCTGATGAGAGCCCAAGAAGAAACCGTGGCTGCTATGATGAACATTAAGTTTCAGAATATCGTCGTTGAAATTCTGATAGAGCATTATGAAAAGGTAGAGAAGACATTATCTGACTGTTTTGTGATGAAGTGGAATCGAGATCTCATTTTCATTACCATCATTAAGCTCTTAAGAATAAGAAATCCAGCATTTGTAAGAAGATCATTGACAGAAATAATATCTTCTTCCCACCCCATGCTATAGAGCTGTATTCCTAGCAAGTCTTTTGTGACTGTGCAAAGTACAAATCCAAGGCATAATCTCCCATGCTTTGAAGGAGTTGCTCTGAATCTTCAGTTGATTTCTGAAGATTGCTGTGTCCTTCTTATATTTAGAAACAAAATGAGAAGGTCATAACTTTTCTCCCAGCTCCTCCAACTCTCTCATGCTAGCAGTGTATGAAGGTTCACTCTGGGAGAATACATATATTCTCCTCTGAGTGCATCAGGTCAGAGATTGCTGTCCTTTGATGATATGCCAGCTGCATAGAGACCTAGTCCCTCCTAATGTCATGAAACCCCAACCATCCTTCAGTTTTTATTTTCATGAGCAGCATCAATGTGGATCCCCAGCAGAATCCCCCATTTCTGTGATATGTGTCATTTTTCATTTTTGTAGATACTAGATGAAAAGCAAAAAAGCAAAATGAAGAAATAATGTGGTTTAGATATGGTTTTATTCCTAGTTACAGGTTTTAAGACCATCATGTCTTTGTGATTTAAAAGTTCTTGAATACTCTGGAACAAACTTTTCTAGGTACTTCCTTGGCCTTGAAGAAAGGCATGTCTGTGACTGCCTGGTTTATTTTGTTTTCCCCAAAGAGACAAGTGACAGCAAAGGTCTCTCAAACTCTTTCCTGGAACACTGAATAAGAACTGTTTCAGGGCCTGAGAAGGAAAATCCATGAAAACTTGAACACTTGCTTTCAGTCACTACCATTTCAGGTATCAGCTTCACTGAAAAACCTCCTCAGATTTTATATCATTTTAAATTATTTGATTTCAGAACTCAGCAGAACAGTCAAGACCTCCTTTACTTAGTCATCAAAAGAAATTTTATTTAGGGGATCTTTTAGTGATATATATCACCTTCTTTGATGACTTACAAAACAAAGTGAAAAAAATTTGGGTTTCTTCCATTTCATGTTACTCAGCTAAGAGGCAGTTCCTGATCAATACCAGGATCCCCTGCACTGGTTGATCAGTAAGTACTAACAGTACTGCTTGGTATTACAAGTTGTATTTCATAGGGACTCCCCAGAATTGGTATGATACTGATAGCCTCCTTGGCTGTAACACCATATATGTTACATATTTCCAACAATGAATTTCCCCTCCAGAAAATTACAAGCTCATTCAATACAGAGACCATGGCTGCACAACCAGAATCACCCTTGCTTTATTTCTCTGTTTACAGACATGTTTCTATATTGATGTTCTACTCACTAATGCTAATACAGTATTAATGTACTTCAAGAGCATCACAAGACATTCATTAAAGTATTTTCTACTGTGAGAAGTATATTTGCTTTCTTCCACTTCTGTGAATGGCATGGAGTTATCTTTTCATTGTTCACTTCATCCTCTTCTGGGAGTGGCCTATTGATAAAAGGTCCAGAAATCCTTGCAGAAACATATTTTGGCATTTCATGGTTTTCAACCTACAACACTTGGCCCTATGGAGATTGGACACTTCTGGTTCCTTCTGTAGTTTATTCAGGCAATCTTTCTCTGTAGAACTTCTTCTCTATTCCACAGAACTATTTCCACTTCCTTCCACAGAATTCCATAAGAGACACTTAGTAGAATTTGCAGTCTACACTGGGAGGAATAAGTGAGAAAGAAGATCTGGAATTAAAACCTTCAAGTCTTTTGGCTATATTTTTTGCCTTCATCATCCTCCAAGGAAATTATAATTTTTACTAGAAGTATCTAAGAAGGTTTTTAGGGCCTTTTAAAACCTTTGCTGCATATGTCTTGGATATTGCAGAACAGGTGATACAAATTGAAGTCAAACAAATTACTGGACCTTCTGCATTGTCCTTGCTGGCAGGCTTGCCAAACTTACCAGCATAGAGTTCTTAAAAACCTCATGTGTACCTGTGTCACATTGCAGTAGGCAGATACCCATAAAAATGTGAGTTAATAAGCAGTAATGAAGGGTAAAATTGACCAGTGGTAGCAGTGATATGTAAAAGACAAAAACCAGAAGATGCTCCAAATATAAAGATGTTCCTCATCAAACTTTACTTGTTTGGCAAAATAAAGTGGTTTTCTGAAATACAAACTGGATTGTAGTAGATTACAACTATGACACATTTATATGACACACAAAAGCTTCCACAGGAACACAGAGAAAAAAATTCAATCTTTTCATAATATTTAAAAAAATATATTACTTCTTGGGCAGGAGTTAGTAGTAAGTACCTATTATATGGTTTACAACTTAGACTGTTAAGCAGTTCTTAACAAGGGCTAGAAAATAAAAATATTTCAGCAAATATTTTTATATAAATTTTAAGTACAGCTCAGTATTATACTTCTTGGATTGTGAAATGAGATCAGAGCAGAGCTTATATTCTGTGAATTTACTTTTTCATGTGTGAGACTATTAGAGGATTAATTTCAGGCGCAGTGGTGAGGAAAACAAATGGATTAGTAATGGAAGTGTAAGAGTACCTCTGTTGTTTATGTAACCTTTTCCCCCCTTTTTTTTCCAATCATGCAGATATTTCACACTGCACCAGACCCCAATATTCCTCTTCCCCAACCTCAGTCCCGATCAGGTTCAAGAAGGACAAGAGCAATTTGTCTCTCCACAGGTTCACGTAAACCCAAAGGAAGATATACACCATGTCTAGCAGATCCTGACAGTGAGTTTGTCCTTGTTGAGTGGTTATCTTCCTTTTTTATGTCTTGTCTTTTAACTTTCCTGAATAATATCCAGTAGTTATTGTACTCCAATAATTATAAGCATAACAGATGTGGTTTCATCAGCTTTTTAACTTCTGTGAGTCTTAGCTGCACTGTTGAATGACTGCATTCCTTGCTTCTCTCAGATGAGGAAGGATATTTGGTTTTAGGCAAGTCTTGTATTGCATACAGTGTTCAAAAATCATTTAGAGTGGACTTTATATTATAATCTAAATTTATTCAGCTTTAGAACTCAGAAGTTCATTATATGAAGTTCATCTCATTTGCTTGTAAGATGATTAGTAAGGTTCGGAATCTGCAAATAGAATCTATCCTCTCCTGTAATAAATGTAATTCAGTCAAGGTCAAGAGATCAAAACCACTGCTTGGCTTTTTTCACATGCATGAAACATGAAGAGAAACAGTATACTTATCATATGGCTTACTGTTTAACAGCAGGGAGTTATGCTTATAATTAATTGCTGCTTAGAACGTTTATTCATTTTCAACCAGTGGGCCATCACTTTTTTACCCACTGGCTGTACCAGTAAGAAGTATTGAAACTTAAGCAAAGATTAAGTTGTTAACAGTTCCACTACTCCAACAGACTCCCAAAAGAACAAATGTGTCCTCAAGGAGATTTACATGAAACTGGTGCAGTAAATTAATCCACAGTTAAGGTATATCTGTTCTTGAGGCTCTGTAGTAATTCTTAAGTCTGTAATGGTAAGAAATGTATCTTCAGTATACTCTTGCACAGGTACTGCATTTTCCATAGGTTTATGTTACATGATTTCTGCCAGTGAGAGTTTAAATACTAAATGAGAGCAATACCTGCCTACACATTGATTGCCAATATGAATGGCATGGGATCTGAGTAAGAAGTTACAGAAGAACTGTTAGTTACATTCACCAGAGGACAAACTGGGCAAGTTTCAACTGTTTTTCACTGTGTAACTGCAATGAATGAGTGCCAGCATTAAAAAGGGGCATTTCTGTGCAAGTATTTTGCAGACCGTATGCAAGCTCACTCTTCTTCATTCAGACACTTGTCTTATGCTGGCAGTTTCCCTGGAACTAGGTCTGACCCAGGAGCTCTCCACTTGTGCTTTGCTTATTAGCCCAGGCTCAGCACTTGCTCACACAAGTTCCAGTTTAGGTCTCACTTGTGCCTGGAAGGCTGAGGCAGAAGCAGAGGAACTCTCCTTGCCAAATATCTCTAGGTGTGGCTGGATACAGGCAAGAGAGAGCCTTGGCTTCTGGAAATAACAATTTCTGAAGTATTAGATGGCTTTAAGTCATCATTTAAATGAAGCATGGACACTTAACTATATTGCAGAAAATTAAGGAATTCTATAAGGCATGAGAAATTGAGATACAGGTTTCAAATGGTAGGGAATGATAGAAAATTATTGACAAACTTAGGCTTCAGCCAATCCTGCAATTTTCAAGGGACTAATGGCCTGTTATGGGGCAAGATGGGAGACAATCTAATCTGGAATACCAGAATTCTGGCCAACAGTGGACAGAATATTTCACACTACCGTACCAGTGGCACTACTGTTGTCAGATCCACTCACTATGAGGGCACTGGTATTTGTGACCTTATCTGTAGTATTGTGTGTGGTTATAGTCACTTGTTGCCAAGGATATTGAAACATTTGGAGACAAAACAGCTATTTTGTGTTGGTATAATTACTGTGTGGTTAAAGAGTATGCATTCTCTGCTTCTTGTGAAATTTGTGAATTATATCTCACAGTTTTTGGGAAAAAATCCTACTAGAAACCAATGTATGATTCACTAGACTGAATCCAGTCTTCAGAATAACTCATTGTATTATATCACTATATTATAGGCCAATCCTTCCTCAGTTCTGAGTGTTCCCACCTTTATATCATCAGCAAATTTCTTTAGTGTATTTCTACTTTTTCTTGCAAAAGACTATTGGAAACAAGATCAGTACAAATATTTTTGTGTAGGTAGGTAAATTTCTCTAATATCAATCCAATTAAAGAAATTTATCAAATATTCAACATTCAAGTTGTAAATAAAGGAATGAGTTGTCCTTCTACAGTATAGATACTTCATGAAAGGTATGATGACTCAGAAAATAGGTTATCTGTAGACTTACGGACTAGTCTTATAGAGACTGCAGAGATCCTCAGCAGCTTGGTAACTGAAGTAAAACTTAATTCTTGTGCCTGCTGCCAATAAAGTCTTGCATTTAAGAACATAAGTGTGATAAGCACCACAACATTTGCCTTATCGTGAAAATCCAGTAAGATACTCACCACAGATATTGCAACATCATAACTGTTGAATTTTCTAAGGATTGTTTGTATTGCAGGAAGTTCTTTTAAAGTGCAAACTTCAGTGTGAAATAGTTTAGCCTATAGCCCACTATGTTCATCAGCTCTAACGAAATAGCCCCAAAAGGCAGTTCTTCCAGGTTATAGGTAGAAATATGTGTGAAACTTAGAGTAACTAAATAGATATTTTGTCTTGAGAATCATTGCCTCTGAAACCACAGATTAATATATTTGATGACAAGTAAGGTACAAGGGGCTAAAGGTGGCGTATGGGAAATGCCCATGATTAGAAAATGTAATTTTTTTTTTTCTCTCTCTCTCTTCCCTCCCCTCACTCCTCCCTAGGTGACTCGTACAGCAGTAGCCCAGACAGCACTCCCATGGGCAGCATTGAATCTCTCTCTTCTCACTCCTCTGAGCAGAACAGCACCACCAAATGCACACCCTCACAGCCCAGGGAGAAATCAGGAGGGATTCCATGGATTGCCTCTCCTGCTTCTTCTAATGGCCAGAAGAGTTCAGGCCTCTGGACTACTAGTCCAGAATCCTCATCAAAGGAGGATGCAGCCAAAACAGATGTGGAGTCAGACTGCCAAAGTGTAGCTTCTGTCACTGGACCAGAGAATGCCTCTCCACCAACAGACCTGACCAAAAAGACTTCTTACAGTCTGTCTGGTCTGAAAAGGTCTTCAGCATCTTCCCTTAGATCAATTCCATCAGCTGAAGGTAATTTCCAAGGTCTTTTAGGACATCAGTGTTTACTGTGACACATCAGAAAACAAGAGCTGTATCTGAAAGCTAATAATATTCAATAATCTTTTTTATTTTTTTAATTTTTGTGGTGTGTTCTTTCAAACTACTTCTGACATATTTCCCTTGTTTGTTAGTTCACACAGCTGAAAAGATGCCAGTGTTCATCAGAATTTAGAGTAATCTCTATCCTGCTATGCATCATCTAGACCACTGACTTGTAAGGAAGTTCCTGGTTTATAAGAAGAGTTGGTAGCTATGGCTTATCACTGTGTCAAATAAATGAATCCTTGCAACATTACTGATACTGATCAAAGCTACCACTTTGAAAAGCACTAGGCTTAACATATCTAGTAAATAACAACAAATAAATTTTGACAACTGCACCTCTTAAATTGGCTGAAACAGGAGACTGAAGAGGTGGTTTGTGGGATTGTTTTTTTTTTTTATTTACAATTTTTACCGTCAGTGCCTTTAATTGAGATAGGACTGGACAGATGGGATAAAAAGGTAATCCCTGGCATGAAATGTATGTCTGAAACCCTGCTGATTGAATGGCTGCTTCATTCTGCCCTACTTGTGTGGTTTGTTATCCAGCACTGCAAGTAGATTAGCTTGAACACAAGATTATGGCTGGATGGTCCTATATATGGACATGATGTGCAAGAACAACCACAAGTTTGCAAACCCAACTGTAGGAATTCAGTTTCAGTGCACAAGTTAGGATGCCAGTCTTCCTGGTCAGTCAAAGAAGGAGGCTGCTTCAAAGAACACCCTCGGAGCACCTAAGATGAGCCTGTATCCCAAATAAATTTGTAGACATGTCTCCTTACAAGACAGAGAAGCTGAAAAACATAACTTCTTATTTTAGACGGTTCTGCTGAATGCTGAGTTATCTGGAATGCCTGTGTGTGCCCTAGCTCTGTGAGTACGTGAGGTGCTACTGCACTATGTTGACAGCTGTGTGGGGAAGTTAGAAGAAACACCTTCTTGAAATCAGTATATTTGCAGTTTTGGATTATGAAGATTAACAGTCAACACTGAAACAATGAGCTCCAGTGGACTGAGTGTGAGTGCCAAGTTTGCCACTGAGCTGTCAATAGTATAAGTAATACAAGTACAGGTAGGCTAAATATGTGGTTACGTGCAAAGCCCTAAAAGTTTAAGAAAGTTCTCTTCCCTCTGCCCCCCATGGAGTGTACAAGCATTTTTCCTAAGACTTGCAGATATGAATCCATATTATATTAACAGGATTAATAATGTAGCATAAATAATTATCATTAACAATAATTTATAATATAGAATAATACTATAGAAAATAATAATATAGGTATTGTTTGTATATTTGAGGATCTCTATATTATGACAGCTTTTAAAGTATTATTAAGCATAGGTTGTTCATAGGAATAAAGAAACACAGAAGTAGATGCAGTTCTTTTTCTTGCAGAACATATATATACAAAGAAGACAGCAGTCCACAGATAGGTCAGCTTAAAGGGCACATGTGGCCTTGCCTTGTGTACATTAAAACGACTTTTTTTGTGTACAGTACAGTCTGTACAGCTATAGATTTGTTTTATCAAGTTACAGCAATGATTGTTTTAGGCAAATCATGATCATTAATTCCTAAGTATTTTTCTGAAACTGCATGAAGCTTCTGTGGATACTGAAATATTAATTCTTACAAATTAATGTGGCCTGATTTCATAGTGGATGCTGCTTTGTGCAGGAATTTGGACTAGATGACTTCCTGAGATCCCTTCCAACATGAATTTTTTCTATAATTATGTGCAGTGTACTACTTTATAATTATTTGGTTTATTGTCACTTTTTAGTGAATGTGCTATCTAGCCATTTAAGTGCAGTGTAATTTTTTAGCCTTCACAATTTTAATGTAATTTCTTTATTCTTACTATTGGTCCTTTTCTCCTGGCTTTCTGCCTGGAAGGCTGTTTCTTCTCCCTCTTAGTAAGTACTTTCTCTACCTATTTTGCCTCTTTAGTAAGAAAAAAAAAAAAAAACAACAAAACAGCAACAACAAAAACTTTGCTTTTCATGTTACACATGTTGTGAAGCAATTTCAGATTAGCTTTACCCTATATTTTGGTTGTTTTCTTTAGGTAACAAAAGCTGCAGTGGATCTATACAGAGCTTATCCTCAACAGATACCAAAGACACATCAAAGGCTCCACCAAACCCTGATTTGCCTCCCAAAATGTGCAGGAGATTAAGATTAGATACTGCATCAAGTAATGGCTATCAAAGACCAGGATCTGTGTAAGTCATCAAGGCCCTTTGGAAATTTGTGTTATTACAGTATTGTCTACTGTAAAGTGATCCCAGAGATATACATAAGTAATTGAAAAAGCATCCATGAATACTTGATTTTCATATTTCTGTATTTGTGAATTATCTAGCTTCATTACAATTGTAAACAGAGCAGATGCGGCACAAATTCAGTTGAAAAACTCTCACTGACTTCATTAGACTACAGATAAGGTCTATAATGAAGAAATGTATCTTTGGAAAGTGATTAGTATTATTATCTCTGATTCTTCTGGAATTTAACATTTCAGAGAGCGTAAATGCTACTTACCATCCATGCTGTTATGTGAAGAAGATCATCAGATTTTATTTGTGTAAGTCCAAAATTGGAGGAAGGGGAAAAAAAACCCCAAACTTCTGCTCTGAAATGTGTTTGGTTGCTGCATGTTAAAGTGTTGATTTCTAACAGTTGCTTTTTGAGGGGTTTTTTATGTTGAGGAGGATAGTTTTAAGCAATAGAGGTTATCATTTAGTCTGTTGAGATTTGGGTTAGCAATCTTTCCAAGTGCTTTTAGGACAGACTTAAGAGTCAGATCTCTTCTGTAATCCTGACTTTGACCCTGAATTCTTCTGTCCCCATGAACAAGTGATTTCCAGATCTGCAGAGCACCAAGAAGTTCTCCAAATACATCAGGACTCCATTCAGCTTCTTAATTTTTTAAACTGGAAGGGATCATGGTAGTCATTTCACAGACTGTTGTCTTACTTAAACAGAGAATCCTGCACAGCTCAGACTTCTAGCATGGTAGTGACAGACTGGCAGTAAAAGTATTTCCAATGTATCTATTTGCCATTCATGAGTATAATTTTAAATATGGGGTGTTGAGATTTCCCTTGCTGACTCAGGAAGGCATTAGAGCATGTGGAAGTCAGTGTCCTCAGTTATGTTATGCCTTTAAGAATTCTGCTGAATAGGGACTTAAATTCAGCTTTTGGATTTCCTCTGTTTCTGCAAGTGAACAATTAAAACCATTTTTTAAAATATGTCCATGTCTTTAGATGGTTAAAAGTTAAACTAGTCTGTATATTTCATTATTTTTTTAAATAAAGAAAGGTGGTACTTTTCTTTTCAGAGTGGCTGCAAGAGCGCAGTTGTTTGAAAGTGCTGGTTCATTTAAACAAGTTTCTTCAGGACGGTAAGTGCTCCATACTGTTTAACAATTTGTAAAATCCTGTCTGTTTTGCTGGCTTCAAAGACTGAAATATAAGTGCTGGAGCTCTGTTCTGTGTCTTTTGGAGAGCATCATGTGGCATGCAAAATTTTTGTGGTTTATTAAACTCATCCTTTCTCCAAAAGAAAGCTAATTATAGTGGAGAATAACAGCCAATCTGTTTATTCTGTCACCTGGAGGAACTGCAGTGAAAGATGCTCAGGTTAATGAACTGCATAAGGACACAGCTACAAGAGTAAATTAATAGGATTTAAATTAGGATGATGGTGCTGTACTTACTCCATACAGCTGTTTGTATATACATGTTTTCAGCAGAGTAGCAAACATGCTAGTTTATGGTAATTTGCACATATAGGCAGGTCTTGAATAGCAGCTGCTTTAGAATGTTCAGGATTAACTTGCTCAGGATTTCTGTCTTTACCATCATACCTTCCATACCTTAGTATCGCTCTGCAGAAATTGTTGCCCTTTCTTCTTGACAGCGTGAAGCAGGAAATATTTATATTTTCTTTGCAATTCTTTGTATTTATTTGGTGGATTAGATTCATTCTTCTATTAAATGAATTTAGAATGTTCTGACAAGTGTTTGTCTAGGAGGCAGTATCTTCCATACATTATTAACCCCCTTACAATTAATAGACTAAAGGAGATAATCTGATTAGTAGATGTGGGTAAAAGTCTGTCTCTCTTTTCACTGTCCCCACATTTCAAGTTCTTTGAGATAGAATGTATGGTTTTGTCCATCACTTTTACTCACTGATACCAGGATTTTACTGGAACGGTTGAGCAACGGGAAAGAAAAAAAAAAAGTCAATCCATTAATCCAAAAGTAGTAATCTAAAGAAGCACGGCTGTAAAGGAAGATGCCAACATATGCTGAGATGTGTGGAGTGGAATATGGCTGTCCTCTCTGACAGATCTAGCAGGGGAGAGAAAGTTGACCTGCAAAGGCCCACCAATTTTGTTTGACAGAAGCAGCTTACAGGAATCGAAGCTGTTCTTGTTTTGTGTAGTACATGAACTGGAAGGTGACCAAAAAACGAGAGTGACAGGGGAGGAAAGGGGTATGAAAAGAGCAGGGCAAAAATTTAAGGAAGAAAAGTATGAATGAAGAGACTGGAATGTTCTTAAGCCAGTGCCCTAAGGTGAGAGTGATGACTGCTTCACCAGTCCTGAATTATTTCACCCCCACCACTGTTCCTTCTCTTATTCTGTATTGCTCCTTTCTTGTGAACTCTCCTCTGTTGTTCCCTCAGAGCCTGAGCCACCTGTATCTGTATATAAAAAGCATGTAAGAAGCAAAAATCTGACAAAGGAAAAATGTCTGTTTGATAATGGATATGGAGAGCAGATAACAAAGCCAAAAACGCTGAAAGGCTTAATAGCTCCTCTACTTCAGCCTTCCTAAGAAGGCAGAAGAGCAACAGTAACAAGGGGAATGGAAAATGAGAGGTCAGCAGGAAAAATGAGGAAGAGATAAGAAGTAACTCAGCTGTTCTTATAATGCTGCTTAAGTCTGACTATGATTTTGCAATTCAGAACCAGCTTTTATTTACCTCTCATGCATGCTATGAACATGAAGGCTGATTTAAAACCTCAGGGTAGTCTTTTTTTTTTGCTCTGAAGAATGTAGAAATCATGGTAATTACATCTTGATCCACCCAGTAAAAAAGGCTTTCTGTGTTTGTAACTCTACTGTCTAATGATTATATGGAGGACAGAGTGTAAGACAGAGAAACTATTTTTAAGCTGTTACCAGAAATACTGAAGTTAAGACAGTGTTGAAGTCTGTGCAGGGGCAATTTACCCTGCTAAAATAACTCATTTTGAATTGTTAAGCTACTGCTTGCCTATGCATTATAGTATCTAAGTAGCTTCATTCCTACTTGAAGCATCTGTGGTCATTTGTATGGTATACAGATCAAAACTACCTGTATGGCTTTGCAGTCTCACACCGTTTTCTGTGTTCCAGCAGATAATTTTGCACTTGATGCTTTACCATCACAGAGGCCCACTCTTGCTTAAATCTTTCTTCCAGGTAGTCTCTGCAACCCTGCTTTCTGACTTTGTATAATCTGATATCTCTATTATTTGTGTGTGTCCCCCTTTTTTTTTTTTAATGCTGGGACATTATTTGACTTGACTGTTTCTCTCCTTGTATACATGAGTACATGCCCTCATAGCACTACCAGTTTAAACAGATTTCTTTTAGTCAGAAAGAGAATGAGAGGCCTCAGTACATATTTCAGAATTGGACAAGGAAGATCAAAATGTTATGCCCTATCCAGCCTGTGCTCTCTTTTTCCAATTCCAGAATTACTTTGACTTCTTAGCCTTCCCATTCCTTCCCTCCTGACTTCAAGTTTATTATTTCCATTTCCCTTACTGTGGTATTAAGCTACTGTGTACACTGAGACCAATCCCTATTGCGAATCTAGTACGCACTTGAAAGGAGTTTTCTTATCGCTTCACAAACACTGCAATTAGATAACAGTAAGACCTGAGGTCTCTTTATTGTAGATTCTGTACAAAAATACACCAACACATAATCTCTGACTCCACGTTTTCTTGACTTCTATTTAGAGGTATACAGAAAGTCAAGTCTCCTGAAGTGAGAAACTGCATTATAAGAAAGATTTTATTTTGAAAAGAATACCTAGAAAAAATGTGAAGGAGGAGTTGGTGACAGCAAATGGCTCGAACTTGGCAGCTAGATCTCTAGGTGCCGGGCTGGGACTTTAATTATGAGTAGGCTGACAGTATAAAGTCCTCTAGACCCATGCTTCCCTCCCAGCCATATGATCAACTATCTTTTTGAGTCGTTCTTCTGGTTTTAATGTCATGCTGTATCTCACATTTCCTTAAACATCTGGCATGCCTTGCTCAGCCCAGCCCAGTGTTTTCTAGTCAGTCAAGCTTGGCTCTAAGTTTGCCATTTCCAGGAGTCTAAAAACCTTTCTTCTTTCCATAGGATAATATTAACTGATGAGTTACCTGAGAGAGATTCATGTGTTTTCCCTCATTCATTCCTCTTCTGGCTTTGTCTTGTTAGACTGAAAACTCAGGAGGGCAGGAGCATAGTATTAAAGCTTACTTATAATTTTTAAAATTATTGTCATTGCTATTATTATCATTATTATTATTATTATTATTAAAAAGGCTTCAGGTGTTGTTGACCTCATGTAGTCAAGCAAAATAATTTATGATCTGATAAGTCCTGACGCTTTGACTGCTAGTGTAAGTTTATCATTATGCGATCAAAGCAAATGTAATAAAAAGCAGGGAAGGAGAAAATTCATTTTTCTCATCTGGTGTCCATCCAGGAAAGTCATGGAGAGAAGGAACTTCTAGGAAATGGGGGTAACATTTTCTGAAGTTGGTTTTTTTTTTTTTTTTCTCTGCACTAAATGACATGAATCACACTCTTTTCATACTATTAGCATCATCTTAAGAGAACCATAATAGATGATGGTGATGTTCTCGTATGCTTTTTAACAAAAAGCCTTGTTTATAGGGAGGACAGCATTAACACCATAAGTAAGAATGTCCATTTTCATAATTGCACACACAAAAAATGCCCAAGAACCTACAAACTCTTTTCATGGTTGAGGCTTGTAGTAGGATGAGGTTGAAGTGAGTGGTAACAAATATGACAACCTAAGTAACCAAATTGAGTGTGGAGGCAATAAGCAGGGGCTTGAAAATTGCTCCAGAATTATGAGTAAATATTCTTAGAATCTCTCTGTCATTATACCATCATACACAGTCTGTAGGTAACACTGGAATGTAATTACTCTGTGTCAGGAGCAATGTAGTGGGAAGAATCCTGTAATTCATGAACTTTTGAGAAACTGACTTCTTTGTGTTTGTGTATCTGTCTAAATGTCAAATGCTGGGAAGCTTCTCTTTGCAGAACTGAGGAAGTCAGAGTCCATGTTTTCTTACCTTCTTTTTACTTTTGAGGTAAACATACCTAGATCAGGTAAAATTGAAAGCTGAAAACAGAATAATTTAGTAGATATAAATGAGTATAGGGGAAAATTGCATTTATTTTCTTAATTTTTTCTAAGGGCACTAAAAAACAACATGTCATATTTCAAGAATAACTTAAATGATTCTGCCTCACATTTAAATACTGCTGTTCTGGTTTATTATTGACTTAAATGTCTTTTGTCACAATATTACTCAGATGTCCCATTCTTAACAAGGGAAACTGGCTTGATAGTCATGCCACTAAGTAATGAGGTGCTACATATTAATCTGGTTCAGAATCATTCCTGTGCTTTAGTAAATTCATTGCCAATTACCTTATATTCATTGTAACTGTAGACAACATTAACAGTTACTCTGCTGTTTTATATGTGCAAAATCCATGATTATGCCACACAGTGTGTTGGGTTTGCATGGCAAGGTTTTGGTAGTGGGAGGCTACAGAGGTGGCTTCTGTGAGAAGCTGCCAGAACCTTCCCCCATGTCTAACAGCCAATGCCAGCCAGCTCAAAGATGGACCTATCACTGGCCAAGGCCGAGCCCATCAGCAATGGTGGTAGCGCCTTGGGGATAACAGATTTAAGAGGGGAAAAAAAATGTGCAACAGCAATTGCAGCCATAAAAAGGAGGGAGAATACATGAGAGCAACAACTTTGCATCCACCAAGGTCAGTGAAGACGGAGAGGGAGAAGGTGCTCCAGGCACCGGAGCAGAGATTTCCCTGCAGCCCGTGGGGAAGACCATGGTAAGGCAGGCTGTGCCCCTGCAGCCCATGTTGGTCCATGATGCAGTAGATACCAACTGCAGCCTGTGGAGGACCCCACGCTGGAGCAGGGGGATGACCAAAGGAGTCTGTGACCCTGTGGGAAGCCCATGCTGGAGCAGGTTTGCTGGCAGGACCTGTGACCCCATGGGGGACCCATGCTGGAGCAGTCTGTTCCTGAAGGACTGCACCCCATGGGAGGGACCCATATTAGAGCAGATTGTGAAGAACTGCAGCCCGTGGGAAGGACCCACATTGGAGAACTTCATGGAGGACTGTCTCCTGTGGGAGGGACCCCATGCTGGAGCAGGGGAAGAGTGTGAGGAGTCCTCCCCCTGAGGATGAAGGAGCGGCAGAGAAAACATGTGATGAATTGCCCACAACCCCCCCATTCCCCATCCCCCTGTGCTGTTCGGGGAGGGATGAGGTAGAAAAATTGGGAATGAAGTTGAGCCCAGGAATAAGGGGGGGTTGGGGGGAAGGCGTTTTAAGATTTAGTTTTTATTTCTCATTACCCTACTCTGATTTAATTGGTAATAAATTAATGTCCCCAAGTCAAGTGTGTTTTGGCCATGACAGTAATAGGTGAGTGATCTCTCCCTGTCCTTATCTCAACCCACGAGCCTTTTGTCATATTTTTCACCCCTGTCCAGCTGAGGAGGGGAGTGATAGAGCAACTTTGGTGGGTACCTGGTGTCCAGCCAGGGTCAACCCACCACAACAGGAAATAGCTGTTTTGTCAGACTGTTACCAGTCTGGATCAGTATAATTAGAACATCTGTAGCACTCTGTGCCGTATTCACTTTGAGAAAAATTAACCTGTGTTTAAAGAATTCAATTCTAGTTTATGTGTGACCTTTGATAAAGTCATCTAATCTCCCACTGTATATTTTAGTATATATTATGTACATTATTATGTATACATTTGTATTTATTATGTATAGTAATGAAACTTCATACCTGTCTTGTCAACTGTGGGTTGCAGGTTCTTCATAACAGTAGGCACCAAGGATCTGTCTTGGAAGAATGCTAAACACAGCATTCTACACCAGCCAGAAAGCACGCTAACATTTAAGCAAAGAAGACAAACAGGGGTCCAGTGCTCATGTTGTTCTAGTTAGCAGTGGAGAGGTATCCAGAATGACATTACTAAGAGTTCTAAATGTTTTCAGCATCTTGAAAATGGTGCCCTTGGATATCACTAGCGTGACTCAAAATTCTTGACCTCCTCTGGTAATCTCAGCCTGAGAGTGTAACCCTTGATGAGTCAGTTGCTCACTTAAGATGAAGGCAAAACATGCCATTTAGCCTAGTCATAAATCAGCTTCAGAGAAACATAAGAAAAGCTCTTTCTTCAGAGGGAGAAGTCATTCCTGGAAAGCTCACACATACAAACTTTGGAATATGTCCATCCATTCTCATACCCTTTCAAAGATTCAGATGAATGATGGTGTGCTAGAACTGATTGGCACCAGGGTGTAAGGCCAGGGTAAAAGGATACTTTCTGCTCCCTTTAGGAAACCCATCCCGGCTTAACCTCCCCAGGGAGGTGTGGAACTCCAAAGATGAAAGGTGCCATCAGTGATATACAAAATAAAATAGACTTCTTATGCAAATGCTTATGATGTGGCACTGTTACTAATCTAACTTACGACTCTGTTATCTCACTATTCTGGGAGGAAAGACAAAATAGATTACATATCACTTGCATATACACACTCTCAAAAAGTATGCAAAAAATGTTAAACTTCACCACAGGTCATATATTGGGTCACTGAGATAAATCCTGGCTGGAATGAAAGCTGAATCAGTAACTCCACACAAAGGTGAAATAATCAACAAATTCATCTTCACTTGGTATAATGCAGATTTCCAGTAAGTTTAAAGAAACTCAGAAAAACTGATGGATCATATAAAAATTGCTTTGAGTGTATAAATTAAAGTCAAGGTATTAGGTAAAGTTCAGGAATACAGAGAGAACTCCTAATTTCTATCTTCATGTTCAGTTCATCATTTTGTACTTTGCAGAACATAGTGCGAGAGGCGATATCAAGAGGTGCCCTAATCTGTCCTTCTTCTCTAGGATAGAATCATTATATATCTGACTTTCACAGATATATGTGTAGCTCCTTTTTTTTTTTTATTTGGGTTTTTTAAAATTAATTTTTAGTAATAGAAATTCTTCAATTCGGGGATACTCCAATTCTTTTCACTTCCAGTGCTTCACTCTTCTAACCAATAGAGGGATCTTCCAGCTACAGATGAAGAGATGTAAACTTAGCTGTCTACATGTAGATGTCTTCATGTCAGGTATTACTGAAGGAAGTCTTTTGCTGGAGGTTTCGCCACAGGCAGTGAAACCTGACGAGCCATTCGTTGCCCTCTCAAGTAGGTGTCAACCATAGCAGCAGCCAGGCCTAGAGTGTCCTTGAAGCTAGGCATGTAGATTACTTATAGGCAGCTGAATTTAGGTGTCTGAAGCTGAAATCCACCCAAGACACTTAATTTAAATATCCCTTGCTGCAATTTAAATCTATTTAAGTCCTTTTTACAGTCAGCCTGGACAACAGATTACTCCTTGTTGTTTCATATTTACCTTCTATATATTATTTTCTTCTGTAGACTATATTTTCTCATGTCATGTTTTTAAACCTTTAATGACTTGATGATCACTTCTGAATTGTCTCCAGGCAGACCATCACTTGCTTCAAGCAATATGCTCAGTTCAGTATTTGTTCGAATTACAACTTCAACTAGAATGAAAGAATAATTTTAAAAGTTACAAATTATATTCCTCATAAACCTCCAAGTAGGATGTAAGTCTTTTTTCTGGAATAACATGCTTGTTAACTCCAGTAAACTTGGAGTTATTATCAGCTATAATTCTACTCCTCTGAACTGCTGTGTAACTAATCATTACCGTCCTGCATTTGTACAACTGATTATTCTTACACTTCCCGGATTTTAATTTAATTTCTTTATGTTTTTCCTTGTTATCTCATTTATTGTAAGCCTGTGGGTTTGGTTTTTTTTTTTCAGACAAGCAAAAGCCATGTATTCCTGTAAGGCTGAGCATAGTCATGAGCTGTCCTTCCCACAGGGGGCAATATTTTCCAATGGTAAGATATGTTTTACTTTGTCTCTCTATGTAAAAAAAATATATATGTAAAAAACTGAACTGTATCCACAAAATGAGAGCATAGTTCCATTTTCAGCTCTCAGATTTTGCCCTGATTTTTCAGTTGCTCTTGGATAAATACTATCTAAATAAACATATGAACCATGTATAGGATCTTTTAACAGTGTTAATTAATTGTAAAGATGGCATTTTTGTCTGTCTGTTTTTTTGCAGTGTATCCATCTGTGGAACCAGGCTGGTTAAAAGCAACTTATGAAGGCAAAACAGGACTCGTTCCTGAGAATTACGTTGTCTTCCTCTAGTAATCTTTAGTGGACAGCAATATCTTCATGGTATCCATGGTAACAAATAATAAGCACTATGATTTTTATCTGACACAGATATGGGATCAGCCCATTAGCTGAGCAGTAGATTTCCTTCAGATACTACAGCTGCAGGTAACACAGCTCCCTATCAATGGAACAGAATGTAATGAAACAGTTAACAGTTTCTGTACTGAAGACGGTACTCTGTTTAAATAACTTCCATTGTTTGCAAAAGGTTGTTCTGTTCTTCTTTTATGGGTAGGGAACACTAGAGCAATAAAATCAAAAAACTTGCTATTTAGCTGCAGACTTTTAGGTCCTAGGATGTTGCTCACAGAATAGTGAAATTTAGAGGCAATGCACTCTGACATTTCTTGCAATCTATGTTTTTTAATATGGAAAATTGTATTTTTTTTCATAATGTAAATAATGCTTCTATTGTGATCTGAATTCTCCCTTAGAAAACTTGATTCTAAAATTAGTCCTAATCATTTCAAATAAGAAATGAGTTTTCCATAAATCAGAAGTTTGAACTTCTGTTAGTTATTGAGATTACAGTATGGTATAGAATCCATGCAACTGATCATAAAATCAGTTTATACACTGCCTGAGCAGTAAGTGCTCATTCAAAATGTGATATTTTTAATGAATATTTCATTCAAATACTTCTTAGATTTGTTTCATTCTTTCTCTATCAGTGTAGATAATATTAATAACTTTCATTTCTATGACACCCATCATCTGGAAGGTATTCTCAGAACAACATCTGTAGAAAACAAGGAGATGCTGAATCTGGAATGGTTGGTAGTCATGTGAATTGAGCAGTGAAAAACAGCAGTATGTTTTGAAACCTGAGATAAATTGTAACTGGGTCCTTTTCCAACTTTTTCCATTGCAAGTCAGACAAATGGCCTGTGCAGTACTTAATTTTTATAAGCTATAAATGCTGAAAGCTCTGTGGTAGCAGTAGAAGTATTTAGTATTATTTCTCCTGATTTCTGCTAAACTATTTGACAAAGACTTCTCCCCTTCCACAGAACAAAAAAGACTTACTTTTCAAAGGTTCTGTAACGACCCATTCATTGCTCCTGGTAGGACTGAAAAAAAAAAAAAAAAAAAAAAAAGAAACAACTCCAAAGAAAAACCCAAAACCATAAGCAGCTTTCTTGCACATCTAGAGGGAAAACATGGCTGCTTACTTTGGCTACTTACCATACCTGAGTGAAAACCAAGATATTTAAGTTCCATATTAGTAATTCTTCAGCATTAGTGCTACAGAAAGAGTTCACTGTTCCATAGACCTATCTAGGCTTACTTCTCTTCAGTAACAGAAATCAATATATAAAACTTCTGTTGATTTCTAAGTTGTATGTTACTTCCAGAAAGTTTAAGGAAGAACTTCTGTTAGGACTAAAAACATCAATAATGTTTTACTTGCTTATTTTTAAATTCCATAGCATTTGTCTTGTTTAAATTAGAAAATAAGATTCATAGCCAACATGAAAAAGCATATCAGAACCTTCTTTACTTGTGTGTAGTGCATGATTTCTGCAGAGCAATTCTGTGTTGGAATTCAGGCTGGGGGCAGAAGCCTACAGGATCCTTCTCCTTGCTAATTAAAGTACCAAGTGGCGATCAGGGAAGGAGAGAGACTGGGAGAGCATCCTCCCAAAAATGGTCTGGCTTTTCAGAGGGGTAGTCTGGGTAAGACTGGCTGCAGGCAGTTGAGGACAGACCCCTTGAATTAGTGACTGAGTCATCTGGGTTCTTCCTTCACTCTAATCAGTTTCATTGAGTCCCAAATCATGTTTCACTTCACCTTAAGAGCAAATTGTGTTCAGTGCATTGTGCTGAAGGGCTGTTCCAGACACTGTCACAGGCAGTGACGGCAGACACGTGTGTGCTCATCGAATTGGCCCAGAGCAGATGCGAAAGGAAGTGAAGGTCTTTTCTCACCAGGTTGAGCCTTTCTTAGTTTTAAGGGAAGCCAAGCTTTCTCAGTGTAAGCTATGCCTGAAACTCTCATTGCCCTGGCAGTCAACATAGTTTTGGTTGTGGTTTTGCTGTATTTCACAATTCAAAAATTACAGGCTGTCAAAAGGCTTCCCTCTGGTGACCTTCCCAGGAGAAGTGCTGCTGCAGGGAAAAAGGAGCAGGAAGGGAGGAAGAGCTTGGAGCAGAGGCCGAGGGCCCAGCATATGTCTCACCCACGCAGACAAATGCAGTGGTCTGGGGCAAAATCCCAACCTCCATCTATTGCAGCAGGGTCAGTGGCAAACTGACCTGTGTTGAACATCCTTTGATGACCTCTTATATGGAGCAATTTAATTGTTGTGAAATTCTTGAGGAACAGCGAAATAGAAAATGCTTGCTCTTACTTGCTTTGCTTTAGCTTGATTTAAAAAGAAGGGCGAAAAAAGCTAACCTTAGGTAATCTCACAGCCTTTGTGTATGTCTGGCTATTCTTCAATATCATGTTTTGAAACCAGCTGATCTGCGTGCAAGTGAGAGGACTCAAAAATGCCAAGTTCATTAAAAAATTTGTAAAAATGCCAAGTTCAGTTACAGATTAAGTAAGTAGAGCCTGTAAATGCTGAGGGTAAGGTTGTAGAAAGACCTGAACAAATCCCTGTGGTGGAGAGGTGTTTTGTCTGTTCCCATTCATTCATCTCACGTCAGACACAAAATTGAATTACAGGAGACAACTTTGTAAGAAATTGGATCCCATTCATGCTGCTGCTCTCAAAACAAATCTGTATTTTCCTCTGTAAGACTCTGCACTTATTCAGGCCCTTCTTTTGAACCAGCCATGATGATCACATAAATAACTTTAAAGTAGCTTTAAATTTGCATTTCCTTCTGAAGAACATTATGCCCATTCTTAATTACAGTTAACCACTCTCAATGAGTTGGGGTTTTCATTTTTGAAATATTTTATGGTTTTTCTTTTCCCCTCTTAAGCGGTACATAACAAGCACTTTCTGTATAATCTCACTGCTGGGTTTTGGATGCCCCAGCTCTTCCCTGACTTTCCAAGAGGGAGTTTATCTCTACAGAAATCTGTGCAATGAACTGGAAAGTTAAGTAACTAGGTGTTCGAAGACTGAAATGGGGGAGAGGGCAGCACCAAAGTTTGTCTAATGATGATACTCTCAGGACTGACCAAATATCCCTTCTGATAATTGCAAAGGATCAGATATCCATATAACATTTAAATGAAGATAAAATAACTTGATAGTGCCTTACCAGAAAATCAGACAAGCTGAACTAAATTAGTTCATAGTTTTGATTTGTTTTTTACAAAAGTCAGATTCATTCGACAAGCAAAGGGTGCGCAATTTTTAAGTTATTATTATCCTTCCTAAAAGGACACAGCAGTTCTTTTCCAGATATCACTGTAGAACTCAAGGTAGATGACATGTTGTGATTGCTGTTTGTCTTGTGGAAGTAATGTCTGTACCCACAACTTCTGTAATTTGCCATAGTTTTTCTTTGTTAAACCTTTTGATACATGTTGCAGCACAACATGAATCAAATTAATAGTGTGAAGGACTGGTATATTGTATGATAAATATGTAAAGTATATTAATATTTTATATTCACACTTTTTATTAATGATGATAAAGATGAAAAAATATTTTTGGTGTAATTCCTATGAGTTCAGTATTAAAATGTCTTTGCCATATTTTGGCATTTAGAGTTATATGTAACAAAACTCTTAAATTAAACCATAGCTATCACTTATGTCCCTAACTAATCTATAAAGTTCATTGTTTGATTATTTCTGGAAAAAAAGTATGCACAGATTTGCTGACCAGCACTATTCTGTGATAGTAATAGTAACTTATTTTCCTTTTTATATATTTTCTGGTGCTAATCTCTATTCTTTGCCTGTAATTGGATTCAATTGTAATGTGCCTTTAGGAAAGACATTAGGAGAGGAAAAGTTGCAAAATTCAGCAGCTCAGAACAATAATCACAACAACAGAAAAAATCATTGTATGGCAGTAATTGGATTTTTTTTGTTACATTTCTCCACTGGTCTTTTTTGTACTTAATAAGATTGCATCAGAAAAAATAATGAAACTAAAAAGTACATTGTTCTTCATATTTCTTTTCCTAAGGCAACAGCTTGTGCAATTTTGGATTGAGCGGCAAGAAGAGAAATCCCAGTAGGGGAGCACATCTTCCAGACTGGGGTGGATCTTCTCCGCTGATGGAAACTCTCAAAGCTCTGGCGAAGTCAGAGGCAGACCTTTGGCAATTTATAGTGAGGATTTGCTGGTCAGAGGCCCCCAGTAAGTAAATGGAATATTCTGTTAATGGGATATGGCTTAGCATTATCCTTTCTTTCAGCAGAATGCCCTATGTGAATCATTCAGTTACCAGAGATGAAGCTATAGGCAATGTTCAATCTCGCTCTTTGTGGTCACACAGCCATGACAGCTGCTGCCGCCGCAGCCCTTCCAGCCACTGCTCATGCTGAAGTCAGACTGTTGATCCGGCTGTTGCAGTGCAAGTTGAAAGTCTTTTTTTGTGGATCAGATTTTGCATGGACTTTGGGAGTTTGCTTTGTTTTGTTTTAATATGGTGCTTGGTATCCAAACCGCTACTAATTCAATATTGTAATTCAGTCACTGAACATCATAGCATTGTTTTTCTTGTCCTGTATGTGGCAGTATTTAATAAGCCATTGGATTATCCTTGTTCCTGTCAGTGTAGAGAATGGTGCTTCAACCCTTGCTTGTCTCAGCTGAAAGCTATTCTGCATCTGAGCTTTTTGCAAGTGTTTTACTGGGAATTGTCTAGAGTTCTAGCACTAAAGATAGCACCATGATCTCAGCACTACAAGAGTTTCTGTTATAGCAAAGGGCAGAGCAGCTGAAAAGGGCACATAGTTTCAATTTTCAATCATATTTATGACAATTTTGGAGGTATTAGAGTTTATAGGGGTTACTTTAGATACTATATGGTATTTTAATAGGAAAGTATATACAATCAATAACTATATATATATTTAATAAAGTCTTACTAAATTATCTTATTGAACTCTCTGTTTATTTTGTAGTGTGGTTTCAATAATTATCTGCACTCTGTATATATCTACATGTAAATAACTGGCATGACATGCATAAGCTGACTTACAGACATAATTCTATGTTGTACTTCACACTGTATTTCAAAAATTTGAAAAAACATTTTTCAAAATAAAAAGCCTTTCTGCACAAACTGGTTTCTCCGTTATTTTTAAATTTGGTCTCTGGTTCGGTGTTCTTTTTTTTTTTTTTTCCAAGTCATAACACTTTTGTGCTACTTCAACCCATAGTTGCATTTTTCAGTGACATTTCACCCATGAGCATGCTTTACATAGAGGGCATTGCTCCTAATGTTGAACACTGAACACATGTATGAATACTAGTTAATCGTATGTCATCTGCTGTTCTGGTCACGTGGAAGACTCCAGAGATGTGGCTTGTGAGGAAAAGAAAAATTACAGCTTTGGATGTTAGGTAACAAGAAGCACAACCCTGGTATATTAAAACATCATTAATGAGGTCTTTGCCTCTGAAAATTAGCAGGTGGGTGGCTCATGGAAGTGGGGTTTGGTGTCCGGATTCCAACGGCACTGCCTGTGGGGGAAGTAACATGAGGAGTGGTTTCTGCAAGTTGCCTTGCACCCCTTTCTCAGCATTTCTCCAAGCCTTTCACCTCAGAGACCTGCAGCTTTTCTAGCCCTTGGGAGGGCATTATATGCATCACCAGCTGTGCCTGAGGCGAGGGGAGCTGTGAGGTGGCCTGCCTCACCTTTCTCCTGAAGGGACTCTCCAAAAACCCAAGAGGCTTTTATACCCCTGAAACAATCAGGCTTTATTACGATATTAATCAAAAATAACTACATTTCTTAATCAAGGAATACCAAGCCAACCAGCTGATAAATTACTTTCCTGCTCACTGTGTGTTCAGGCTTCGATCATGCCGCAAACTGCTGCAGCAGAGCCGGGGAAGATGGGTCCCGCTCCCGCAGGCCTGGCTGCCGGCTGCCGGGCCTGGGCACGCGGGGCTGCTGCTGGCTCCTGCCGGCCTCCTGCCTGCGAGCCCCCGGCTCGCCCCGTCCCCCCCCCGCCTGCCTGCCTCTCGCAGGGGCACTGCGC